GAAAAATGTTCTTTAAAAACATCCAAGAATTTTTTTAAAAGAAAAGTGATGATACTTGGACATATAAACTTTATTTTCATAAGCTCCTTACAAATTTTAAGGTAGATTCAATATGAATCATTTAAAAAATAATTTTTTTTGGATAAATTAAAAATAAATTATAGTTCTACCAAAATTATATCTATTAACTTACATGAGAGCTTTGAAAAAAATTTACGATGTATGTACCCATATCATTGCTATTCAAATTTCAAATGAAGTTCAAGAAATACTGCATCTTTTTCGAAGTTCAAATTAACCATTCTGCACTAGTTAGAGTAACATGCAGTTGTTGCTTAATTTATATATTCTCGGATTGGATTTTTAAGAGTGTTGGAAGAGTATTCAATCTATTTATAAATAAAATTTCTTGTTATCAAAAAAAAAAAAAAAAAAATTTATTTCCTGTTATATCCAAAAAAAATTTATAAATAAAATATATTATACTTTAAATTTTCAGTGGCCTTTCGATTTAGAGTTGGCGTGCGTGATATGCAAATTAATTAAAGTGATTGTATGATCTTTCTCAATATGATAGAGTCGTCAGACTATCACTTAATTTTGAATTGAAGTGAATGAGACAACTAATAACAGGTTTTAATGAAAGCTTAGTTTATTGGTGGAAAGTAAATTTATTTATTTCTTTCTTTCTTTCTTTTAAAAAAAAAAAAAATCTATTCTAGCATGTATCCTCCTTTCATAAGGAGTGAGGTTCTCTACAGTTTAGAAACAATGGTAGCACATTTCCACCGTTAAATTTTTTAACATTAAATATTTTAAAAAATATGACAAAAAATATAAATTGTTAGATTTTAATTAACTGTATCCATTTGCAGCTCATTTTGAACTGTAATGAACTGCAGGAGATCTGGGTTCCCTTGCATAGATCTATAAAGTATACAAAGAAAGGAAAAAGAAGAGTCCTTAATTCAAGAATAGCATTTAGCACGAAATGATTATACAGGTTTGCACACTAAACTACGTATACCATATTAGTTAAAGAAGTGGTTTATTGTGAAAGACAAGAAAAACAAGTTTTGATCACACAATTATCTATAGATGTATAAAAAACAATTTCAGAAGTGAAAGTCTTTTTAATGATTTTTATATTTCTTTAATATGTCCTCTCACATAAGAGTCTATTACCAATAAATTTAAAAGATGGACAATAATTCATATTTCATAATATTTAATCATATTTTTTAATAAAATGGAGGCGATAAGGATTGAACTTGTGAGTTGTGACCACATAGTCACATAGTCAAGAAATCAATTTAATCTAAAAACTTAAGCTTGTAAATGAAGGCATTTTCAACATTTTTTATATTACATCTCTCGAATACGTCCCCTTATGCAAGAACTCCTTGGGCTTAAAGTATGAATATTGCATAGACTCATTTTTTGGTTCTACCTTATGTTGCACAGGTCGTACCTGTGTAACTTAATTTTACTAAAAGTAGGGGGCTGTGAGGATCAAATTTGTAATCTTATGGTCACAGAGACTCTGAGACCATATAAAACAATCAATTCAATTTAAAAGCTTTAAGCTGGTAAACGAAGGCGCCATCGGTGATTATAATATATCTCTCTAACAAGATCGCTCAAAATTAAAACTTACTTAAATATCATATGATTACTTTAAAAGTTTATATATTTTTATGCTTTAATTGGTAAATCATGTAAGATCTAATATTTTCACTTTCAATAAATCACTTCTCTCACTATATATATATATATATATATATATATATATATATATATATATATATAAAATCATTTCTGCAGCCGCTTTACGTACAACAACGAATGTGTATGGTTATGATTCTCCACATTTAATGCTTTCATCCTTTGTATGGTTATGATTCACCGCATTTAATGATTTCAAGTATATATATGACAAGTATTTGATTGTTGCACGTATAACAGCCGCAGAAATGTAAACCATATATGCAGAAATGTAAACCATATATATATATATATATATATATATATATATATATATATATATGAGGGATATTCTTACTACCAAAATTTTTCTCTACTAATTTACTATGTATGTAATCATCACTGGATCAAAGAGAGAGAATACTAAAAAGTTTCTGAAGATAGAGAAAATATTGACCCAATGGTGATTATATAGTATTAGAGAATAATATAAATCATTAAAAGACCTTCTTCCAACACCTTGAGATTTTGGGTTGAAATTGTTCTTTTTATGGTATCAGAGTCAAGTTGAAATAAGCACTAGGTAAACCAAAAAATTGAGCCTGTGCACAATATCCACACTTCAAGCCCAAAGGGCTCCTGTGTCTGGGGTGTATTAGAGAATAATATGAATCATTAAAAGGGTCCTCACTCAACACACTGGCGGACCTAGGTGGGCACTTATGTCCGCAAGTGCGGACATAAGATTTCGGATTTTAGTTTTTTTTTTTTTGTAGCTATGTAGATTCTTATTTGTCTCTTAGTTCAATATTTATATTAAGAGTAAATATCATTTTAAGTTACTAACAAAAAATATAATTCTCACTTTAGTCCCTTATCAAAAATTAGTCTCGAGGAGGTCCCTAAGAAATTCAAAGTAGATCAATTTAGTTAAAATTGTGGTCCATCACAAATTCAAAAAAGACCTGCATTAGTCCCTCAAAAAGACTAAAATGAGTCCACTTTAAATTTCATAGGGACCAAGTGACTATTTTTTTTATAATGGACTAAAGTGGGGACCAAATTTTTTGTTAGGGACCAAAAAAAGATATTTATTCTTATATTAGTTAGCAACGTACAGAGATGATTAAAACAACGTAGCAAGGCAAATTGAGTAGAGAGAAAACTTATTCTTCCACCCGTGTCACGTACCCATTCTCATGATTTCTTCATCCTTTGTTATGGAAGTAACTAGATTATGAGCGGTTCAAGCGTTAATTTAAACTTTCTTTAAGAAAAAATATTTTGGGGGCTGCCCCCGAACCCTTGCCACTAAATGTGCGGACATAAAGAAATTTTTCTGGGTCCGCCACTGACTCAACACCTTAAAGTTTTGGATTGAAATGGTTTTGTACATGGTATCAGAGAAAATGGCTCTTGTGTGAGATGGTGTGTTAGAGAAAAATATAAATCATTAAAAAGGCTTTTTCCCAACACTTTAAGGTTTTGAGTTAAAATAGTTCTTTTCATATAGGTTAGAGAATAATATAAATCATTAAAAATGCTTTTTTCCAACATCTTAAGGTTTTGAGTTGAAATGTTCTTTTCATATAAGTAGCAAGTTGATAGTAAAAAATTTTAGTAGTAAGAATATCTACTATCGTGTATATATATATATATATATATATATATATATATATATATATATATATTACCAGTATAAATTACACTGTTAATATTACCATTTGATGCTTTTTATATCTAATCGTTCTTATTTGTTACACGTAATCTTGTACATGTAGACTCGAGTGCCTAAGAGAATGATTAAAAAAATTGATTTTCTTTCCACTACTCCAGATTTATAATGAGCACTACCCACAAAGTTAATTGTGCGCATGGTCTTTGTGGTCTTGATTGGAATGCAATATACCATTCACTGGCTAACGCTATTAATTTGCAATTTGGAGGCACTTTGACAAGTTATTCCAACCAGCAAGGTACTAATTCTGTTGCGTGCGCTCTAGGGCAACCAATTGTGCTAGACACATGGCAAGGAGTTGTTGGCCATAACAAAAGGTCAATTAGTCCATGTTATATCACCATGTTCAATCACATGCTGCCATTGGGAAGAGCAACTATTGTGGTTCTTGCTAGGCGACTCTTTCATTCATAGAAATGACATTCTCTTCAATCGATTACTACTTTTCATCACACAAATCATTTTGGTTGGTGGAAACTTCCTGTTCCTAAACTTTGGTACTTGGGTTCCCAGCAAAACCGATAGTTCAATATATACAACATGCACTTGAATAGAGGAATAGAAAACAGCATGTGTGTATGTATGAACCCTTGCTTTTCTAAGTAATATTCTTCAACGACACTTACCCCATGTTTAGAGGTATGACCCATTACAATGAATCTAAACAGCTTATAAAACTTCATTATTTTTTTGGCTTCATTCTTTTGGGGCTATGTGTTGACATCTAATGAGTATAATAGTTAATTTGGTGGAATGTGGTCCTAAGCCCCAACCCTTAAAATTATGAGTTCATGTAACTCTCCAGCCTAAGTATATGAGATTTAAGATTATACTAATCTATACTTACTCAACATCTAATGAGGATGTTAATTGATGCTAATTAACAATTCTCTATTTGAAGAAACCCTAGAAAGTGACATTTTTATTTATTCAAGCTTAGAAAATGACTTTATACCAGTCTTTTTTGGTAAGGGTGATTGAGACTTCAGATAGAGTTAGAAATAAACAAGGAGAATGAACTAGAATCTAACGATCGGAGAAATTTAATTAAATTCACGGGTGCCAACAAAGATGAAATCAAACTCTTATATCGATCTCTCAGGTTATAAGCTAGTGATGAAAAATTCATGGAAACCGATTTGGGAATTTGTCAATAGACCGAGATGGAATTAATTAGTGTTAGCAAATTCCTAGATTCTCCTCTATGAAACTCACATGTAATGATTTACTAACCTCAGGCTTTCAGTCTTGTTAATGAACTTTGCTTGAAGAGGATGAATACCCTTTCATATGCTTGAATTAAGGATCCTTATATAATTCCTTAAATCCCGAGTGCTAGAATTTGTTGTCAATAACAATGAACATGGTTATGGAACACAAGCTCAACAACTTTCAGCAGAACCAAGGTCAGGATTCATTGATCTCCACTTTAATTAACAAATCAATAAAAATAAAAGCATGCAGAGCTAGACCAGCAGCATATATGAAACAATGAGAAAAACAAGTAATCTAGCTAGTTTTCATGAATCTTGACTCAATTAAATCCAGTTAAGAAAAGAAAGTTATTACATTATCTCATCCTCAAAACCATAAACTGGCCTTGGGATTGAGGAATCTAGAGCTACTCTGATCAGTCTCAAGACACATTCTACCTAGTTCCTCTAGGAGGCAACTTAAATAGTTCATCCTTCTCTTCAGGGCTATTTCCTCTTTCTACCTCAAGTTCTCTGTATCTGTGCAAATACCTTCTCATTGGCTCTGCATAATCATCAAAACCTAGTGTTCCCAAGGCCCAGCATATGTCATCCCCGTTCACTGTCTTCCTCCTTTCCTTCCTACACTTCTCTGATGCCTCACTTGTCACAAAGCTTATGAATTCTGACACACATTCTTGCATTGTTTCCTTCGATTCCTTCGAGATTTTTGCATTCTGAGGCAAAATCTGTTTCATGATGCGGCCAACATTGGCAATTGGCAACAACCGGTCTTGTTCCTTGATGCCAGCACTATTAGAGGAACTGCCACCAACGTTATCCATAATTTTCTAGGATTAATAATTTCCCACGAAAGAACTAGTCTCTCTTTTTTGACTGAGAATGAAGGTCAGAGAGAATCCTAATATATATATATATATAGAGAGAGATGGATAGAGAAGAGGGCTTAATCACAAATGGATATATTGTAAAATTTTGTCATGTTGAGTATGACATGCGAATGATGACAAGTTGGTCGGCTAGAATTGTGGGGTATGATGCTGCAGCTAAATCAGAGCACACACACTCATATTTTTGGTTGCAAAATTTAGTCAAAGCCCACTTTGAGTAATCTTTGTATTTCATTGGCTTGCTTACTGTTAATGGATGCTGAGAAGGCTTTTGGGACAGTTGAAAAGAGTGAAATATGAATAAGAAATATCCCTTGGAAAGCTCTAAGATATACAAGTAAATTTATGACTGTTACTGTTATAAAAAAAAAAAAATTTATGACTGTTACTATTGAAGGTAAACAATTATACACCACAAACACCGAGTGAATCCACCAATGAGCTTGCACTAGCATGTTTCAACAAATGATGAGGATTGAGGAGTATTTGCACTAGTGTGGTACGAATCCACCAATGACACGGCGTTTTCGAGTCGATACGATACAATATGTTTTTAATATGTTCCCGATACGCGTATGTTAGAAAAAAAAATTCGGAGTATCGGTACTTCATAGTTAGTGTGAGAGTTATATAATTACACTTAACATTTGCCTACAGGGTGAACTGAATCAACCTCAAACTTTGTAGTAGGTATGTTTAATCAATTCAATGCTAATCGTAAAAATTAAATTAAAAAATTGGAAACTAAATAAATTACAAAAATAATCAACTAAAAAATACAAAGTATTTTTAAAAAATTCATATCATAAGAGAGAATTAAAATTTTCAAAATACTCTATATTTTTTTTTCCTGAAACCCTAAAACTACCTTTATCTTAGCGGAAGAAATATTTTCTTCTATATATATTTATAGTATTATCATTATGACTCAATAATATGTTATTAAATCATTAAAAAGTGTTGACTCTTAGAATTGCCAATCATAATTTACTGATAACATAAGCAATTTTACACGGACAACATATTTCAAAAGTTAATATAATTAATGATAATAGTAAAAATATAGATTAGCTATTGCCTTTTTTGTCTTTGGCTGAAATAATTCGCATATAATTTTATGCTATTAATTTTACAGACATGGTCATAAATATTGGTTATTAACAATAAATATTGACAATTTTTTTTAATAAACTTACAAATTACACTGTATCTTACCAGTAAAAATTCACTTAAAAGTGTCTTATCAGTAAGACATAGTATAGTTTGTAAATAAATTTTTTATAAATATAATATTTCTCATTAACAATTAATTCTACTGTGTTTAATTTAAATTTTGAGTTTTAATTTTTTTTTCCTGTATCTGACCTTTGATCGTCATGCCTAACTCTTATTAGTATTAAGAAAGTCTAAGAATGAGGTGACAATATCAAGTATTCGCTAAATAAAGCATTAAATCGTTTTAGTTTATTTTACTTTATAGTTTAAACGATTTTAATCAAGTTCACGTCATTACATACGACAACGGAGTATTTATTTTTGTTTTATAATTTGTCCAACGTTGGTAGGTTGAATTGGAATATAGGAGCCGTACAATACCTAGTCCAACTGCCAATGAGTTCCGAGGTCTTTGGGTTTTCTTTTTTTCTTTTTAATTATAAGATCCGTACAAGTCATGCGCTTGTTTAATAGTCCTATATATTAATAAACAAGCGCCTATTGTAATTGGTAAGTTATATATATATATATATATATTTGGTAACATTTTTTTTTATGGGCTTTATTTTTATTATGTTACATAACATAAAATCATCTTCTTACATACACAAATTTTATATGGGACCCACTTTAAATTTTTTCTCTTTTTTCTATTCTCTTTCCTCTCCCTTCTTTTTGTGAGAGTAGGAAGTTTGTTTTTATGTTATGTTACATAACAAAAACATTTCCTTTTTTTATTCTAAAGAATATTCACTTTATTAGTATGATTTTTTATTTATTAGTGTGATATTTTTTTTGTAGATTTATAATTGTAATATTAGAATTGAAGTAATAAATCTTTCTTTTTTAAAGTTTCTTATTTTTAAATAAAAGGGAATATGATCTCAAATCTTTGTACATCATCGTTACAAATTTATTTGAAAGTCTTGTAAAACTTTTTTTTTATCAATTGATTACACTGAAATATTACCGGTGCAAAAGCATTATATATGTTCAAGTTTCACATGCTCTTTTAACAGGTATCAAAATTCAAGGGAGAGAAGAGTCTGTTTGTGAAATTTTCTTTATGCTGCTCGTGTTTCGAAGGCTTATTGTCATATTTTATAATGAAATATCTGTGGTAATGGTTTCCGTGCTTCAATTCTTGTGCTTTAGATGGCTATTTATTTTATTTTATTTTTTAAAACTTGGTATCTTTTTGTGTGTTCATCGATCATGTTATAGATTTATAACATTTTAATGATGGCAGAAACAGATTTAATTTTAATGACGCCGGCCAAAGTGGATACTTTTGAGGGTGAGATGTGATGAGTGATGAGTAAGGGTGACAATACAGGTATTCACTCGCGGGTTGACCTGTGACCTGACCCGTTAAAATGTGTGTCGTGTCAACCCACGGGTAAGAGCGGGTCGTGTACGGATTGTATAAACATGACACGTTTTTTTCCGTGACGGGTCCACCCGCGGGTTCGCGTGTCAACCTGTACAAGGATTTATACGTAGAGTTTCGTTATTAAATATAGGATTTAGTAATTTTTATGTTGTAAGAGATAAATTTATCTCCTATACATACATAAAATAAATTGTGTGGGACCAATATTTTATCTTTCTCCCTGTTCTTCTCATATGGATCCACATAAGTCTCACACTCTTTTATGTGTATGTGTGGAAGATAAATTTATTTCTTATAACATAAAAAATATTAAATCCTTAAATATATGTTTTTTTAATAGAATTAAATATATACTTTAAAAATTGAAAAGATGACGAGCGTATAAAATCATTAGATTTAATGTAAGACTCATGTGCTTCCATCTAACATTATATCTATCTCTTTAGAAAATAATATATATATATATGTGAGATATGATCTTTTGACATATATAGTTGTTAAACTTTAAAATTTAACATCAAATCATAACCGTTGATTTCCGTCAATTAACAGTTATGATTTCCTAATTAATTATTGTTCTGTCTGAAAGACAGAGATGTTCAACCGATGACTGGTATATTTTATGTAGGATCTAGGTGCTCTCTCTCAATAATGTTCTGTCTGAAAGACAGAGATGTCCAACCGATGGCTAGATATATTTTATGTAGGATCTAGGTGCCCTCTCTCAAGTATCTATATACCCTTGAGGGTAGGCCGATCACTGTGCACAATAATAATCGACATAGTAAAGGCGTGGGGTGTGTGCACGGTGACAAGCTAAGAGAGAGGGTTTTGAGAGTGTCCGTACCTTATTGGTTTAACCCTGTATTTATAGTTGGGTTACCTGAAGGAGTGTACTTCTGGGCCTCTTAGGAATATTTGGGGGCCAAGTCCAACTGCTTAGCTGTCTGGATAGAATTGTCATCAATAGGAGATTCTCTTCCTTTTGTGTTGTCCTTTATTGGTCCTTCTAGAATATGGATCTTTGTCAGGTCCATAACAATTATTAATTTTTAATAAATGATAATCATTAATTGACGAAAATCGACCGTTAAGATTTGATTTCAGATTTTAAAGTTTGACATTGGTATCAAAGAATCTGCTCCTCTCTCTCTCTCTCTATATATATATATATATATATATATATATATATATATATATATATATTGTACACTAAGTACGCTTAGACCTAAATTTTTTCTTGGAAAGTCTATAAATATGAGTTAAGAATTTTTAGGGTGATGCTATATTTGTTAATGATATATTAAAACCAAAATATTCTGGCAATTTCTAACTAAGCACGCGTATTTTTTTTTGGAGAGTAAAAATAAAAATAAAAATTATAGCTTAGTGGTAAAAATATTTCTGAATGGAACTATATTTGCTACCTATAGCTTAGAGGTAAAAGCTAAAGAGGGTTTCTTCAATTATTATAATTCATTATTATTTTATCGGAATTGGACTATAATTTATTTTTATTTAAAAAAAGGAACAGAATTAATCATTAACAAACCCTTCTACCACTACTACCGATATCCAATCATCTTGGTATTCATCGTACTCTTCTCTCTATAAGACAAGTGGAATTACATTAACGATCGATAATAAAAAAACACAATCAGCCAACTCCGAATGGACCAACGTGCATTTACAATTCCTCCAAGAGTTGTCCATTAGATTATTATTTGTTTATTATATTAATGTTGATCACCATTAACCATGCTCTAATTGTCTTCGCCGCACTTTACTGTGATGATTAAGACAAAGGAAACTTGGTGGAATCTACTAAATAAAGTAAATCTCAATTGTTAATTGATATTTTATCATAAAGAAAACCTAGAAATTTGCAAACTTTGAATTTATTCAACAAGAACATACAAAATAATAAGATGGTTTACTCATATGCATTCACTTTGAGTAAGTGTGGTCTCCACTCTCAATTTAAAATTTCGTGAATGCAGCACAAGAAAGACAATATAGAGCTTAGCCTACGAGAAATTTGTAGTTATATACTATGTGTCGCATGTGGTTTAATAAACTACTTAGTCTTACAATGAAAAGAAGTGAATACTTCCAAAAAAAACTATTGTGAACTTCACTTACACTGTTGTATATATACTTGCAAACATTTTTATTAATTATTAGTTCAATGGAGCATTGCCAACAGGCAAAAGCCATTGCTTTGTTTGGAGTCAACTCACATCATGCCAATACAAGAGATGCTATTGGTATGGCCTCTTAATTTGGTATTGTTTACTCACAAGAACCAATTTGAAAAAATGCTAAACACTAGGTTTGAAGACTTAAAAGGGGAAGCACTTCAAAGCATAACCTATATCCATGTATTATTAGATAGAGTCGGCAAAAGACAACATGAATTGATTAAGTGAGGGGTTATATTGACAAATTTTTTTTCTTACAAACTTACAAACTACACTAAGTCTGACCAGTAGTTTGTAAGAAAAAAAGTTTGTTTCTGACTGATCAAACTTCAATCAAGAGTATATGATTGGTCAGACTTAGTGTAGTTTGTAAGTTTGTAAAAAAAAAAAAAATTCAATACAACCTTCGCCATTTATTAATATATATTTTTAGATCAATGGTCAACTGCACCTTGTGGTAACATGGATGGATATTCTAGGCATATTTTCAACTCATCAAGACAGATTTTGTAGTGGAGCATTGTCTGTTGGAATCTTGTTAGGGGCGACTTCGTTTTATGCCCCACAAGATTTTATGACTCTTTGTGAGCTTAAAATAATGCTGGGGTTGACTGGAATAATAATAAGGAATTACTAATAAATCTTAAAAGTCTGAAGGGTTATCAGAAGTTTTCTTTGGCTAAAACTTAGCATCATATAAAGATATTATTTCATGAGATATTCATATATACCAAATTTTAATTATGCCGGTGTGCTTTCTAATCTAAGATTTCGTTCAGAATGCATTTTATTCTTTTATAAACCAATATTTTGGTCGATTTAAAAACATTCTTGAATTCACAGTTAGAAGAACAGAGGCCGAACTGTCAAACTTAGCTGGAAGTAATAGTTGAGTAGTAACAACCATTAACTGTCTGTAGTGGTTAGTTAAAATTGTAACAGATTCAGTTAGTTAGTTACAGTTATAATAAGCCATAAGACTAACTGTCTTGCATTAAGTGAATTGGATAAGGATGGATTTGGAGTTACTCTCCCTGACTGCAACATGAAAGTTGTAATGTATCAAAGTGAGTCTATGAATACAATTGCCAATAATCATTGGTTTAAGGAGTTTGTTCCCCTCAATTAGAGGTATTGAGTTCAAGTCCTCATATCCTCCAATACCAATATAGCATCATTTTTAGAGAGGTGCTCCATACCATTGATAAATCTCAGAGCAGTAGTCACATGCTCATTTAAAATAGATTTGGGAAAAATTAGTAACTGACATTCAACATTTATCGTGAAAACCCCTCTAATTAATTGATAAAATCAGAGTAGAAGAATATTCACCCATTGGAAGAAAATTACAACTTTTCCTTAAAGAGAAAGCAATTACACTCTCTTGAGATACAAGATTTAAGATTACATCTCTCCATACAAAATACCCCGAATATATTGCATGGATTCTCTATGAGGATGAATAATCAGAACTAATAGAAGAGGTCCATATTTATAGGTCAGAAGCTCCCCAATTTTTTGCTAACTAAATAATCCATTAAAATAAATATATAAATAAATAAATCTTTTAATAAAATTGAACCTTATATTCTCAATTTTTATCTGAAACTCACAATGACATCATGAACTTATCAAAACAAAAGTCAAAAATTAAAAAATATCTGTCTTAATTCTAAAGAATGCACGTATCATCACTAACTTTTTTTTATAAAAAAAAACACTAACATTAATTTGCCTTTTGAATAATTTAAAGTGTCATTAAAATTATAAGATTGTAAATGAACTTTGTATTTTAGAAATTAAATTAAAGATTTTTATAATTAAAAAAATCAAATGTTACTCAATATAAGTGAAATATTAAGTTAATATTAACTTTATTTAAATAATTAAATTAATATCACGGGTATATTTGAGAAATTATGTTGATAGTTTACTTTATAAATTATAACTCTGAAGATTAAGTAACATGTTGGCTAAGATGCAATCTGAAAACTAGGCCTGTGAAAAAATTAATTTTATTAACAATGTGACAACACACTTTTATATAACAGTTGTGATGTGAGACGGGAATCTATATATCTTATTAAAAATAAAAATAGCAATGTGACAACACACTATTATATATCTTGCTCCACACAAAACAATCAAACAAACAGTGCCAGCTAAGATGAATGACCCTTCTCCAAATTCATTACAAAAGCAATGGTCATTTGCCCAAAAGAGGATAAAGAAGGGATACTATAGTGTATACAAAAGCTTTTCACAACAAAATTTGCATACAAATAATCAGAATAACTATTCAGTCACTCAGGTTTACTTAGGCCAGACAAGGATTTCTGATACGTATCATCAACTCTACTCTGGCTGAAATCGTATTGCCAACACCAGGAAAAGGATATTGGATTTGTTTACCTTCTTGCTCTCGAGTTCAATGGGAAAAACGTCAAAAATTCAAGCAACGTCCCAATCCCATAATTCCCAAGGATATGTGACATGAATCCCTACCTCCTTGAAAAAGAATATATATGGAATGAAACAAATAAACATGGAGGGCGAAACAACATTGCTCATAAGGGTATTCTCCAACCATAAAATCATTTACTCTCTAGGATCAATTACTTATAAAAATCATAGTTGTCAATAGCAGTTAGCGGCCGGTAGCGGCCGACCCCGAAAATGGTATAGCGGTGTAGCGGGTAGCGGTATTGCCGCTACGGTGAAGTATTAGTTCCACATATATTATACTAACAGTCAAGATACGAGGCAATACTGCTTTTAGTATTAATGCTCAAACATAAGAAGTCACACAAAATCAAACACATTATTCATAATCAATGTCAAATACAAGGAACATAAAAGAAGGATCCAAAATTAAACACAAATGAACAATAAAATTGTCAAATAGTCAAGTACAAGAAGTGAACTAATGAAGAAAATCATCATCATCTCCGGATTCTCCATCAAACTCCAACATGGGAGTGGTGTAGCGGTGTAACGGGTAGCAATATTGACGCTACGCTACGCCGCTACCTTCCGCTACGGCCAAAGTTGCGTAGCGTCGCAGTTTATAGCGGCCGACCGCCGCTACCCGCTACGGTAGCGGTTTAGCGGCGCTACGGGCTGCTACTGACAACCTAGTATAAAATATCAAGTTAATGGTATAGATCAGAACCGTGACTTAAAAAAAAGGTTCCAGCTGAGTAAAGGAAACAATCAAACCAGTAGAGAAATTCAGATTTCGACAGGAACAGAAAGGGAACAAATAATAGAATGAGATGAAGAAACATAATATGCCTGGTTTACACCAAAATCTATATTCATAAATCAACCAACTGACAGATGCTAACATTCTCCCTGATATAGCCTTAATAGCCTAGATGCTTCCTCTTCCTCAAAACATTTCACAAACTTCTGCAGGAACAACTTATCAGACAATACAAATGGTGTAGCCAAGCTAGCATCCTTCTTTATCATATCTTTGGAGAGAAGATACTGGATAACTGAAGCCCTTGGAATAAACCTTTTCTCCAAACTAAATCCAAAAAGATTTGGTGATGCAAGAAGCACTGAAGGATCCCAACCAAGCTGATCAACCCAAAAACTGATCACTGCATTGATTTTGTCCGCAGACCGTAGCATAAAGTTAGGATGCTTCCTAAATGCATGGGAAATTGCATCTTCGGACCAACCCCAATTCTTAAAGGCATCAACTTTGGCATCCCACTGGGATTTGGTAATAGCCCTTTTGGCCAATAATGCTACACTAAAACTCGATTTGGAAGGATCAAATCCCAATCCCTTAACTTCCTCAACGGCCTTCTTCAAATCAGAGGAGCATAGTATAGAAGGCCTAGTACGAAGCAAATGGTAAATGTTGGAGTGTGTCACTCCAACATCAAGCAACAATTTCACGTTTGGTTCCACACGAGCATCACTAAGGAAAGTGGGATAACCAATTACACTAGCAATGAATCTTTCATCAGATGGAAAGAATCTCCTTGCCAATTCAAAGGCAGGGGTTATGTGATTCTCGAGGCTTTTACGCAGGAAATCTGGGCTCTTAGTGACCATGAGAACGATGTCAGAGGAAGAAGCACCTTTGGAGGCTAAAAATTCAAACTTGGGCAAAACCCTTTTGTTGGGGTCGCATGCAAGTAGCTCAGGTACCCTACCAATGATGCTGTGTATTTGGGAGATGGAGAAACCGTGGTTTCTGAAGAAGGCGATGACTGAATCGGGCTTCAGGGATGTGTCGAAACGAACGCGCTTGTATGCTTTGCGAGCAGTTTCAAGTGACAAACCACAATTGTTTGTGAGGTAGGATATGGTGAATGATGATGGTTGTTGATCTGAAGTGGTCGACAAGAGGTTGAGAAAGATTGGTGATTTGTGGGGTTTCAGAAAAGGGTAACATTCTGGGGTTTGTGGCAATTCGGAGATAGCCTTGAGGGAGAGAATTGCTCTCAGGCGGTGACAGTGAAACATGAGATCGGAGATTCGACCAACCACCTGCCACCGCTGCAGTTAGGATGTAAATGGGCCACTGCCTACCGGGGCCTACACCTGGCCAATTTTAGGTCATTCAAAAATTAGGCCATTCACACTAAACGCTAAGAAAATGCATTTAAAAATATAAAATTCCTTAAATCTGTATATCTTATCAAAAAGAAATTTCTTTGGGGGTGTTTGGTTGAAGAAATTTTTTTGGAATAGTAGGAAAATAGAATTGACAGAGAAATGGTAAGAAAGTGAGATAGATAGAAAAATGTAAAAAAAAGTTGTTTGGTTGGATAAAATTTTACCAGGAAAATATATGAAAATTTTGAAAACCTATGTTTGGTTTTGAAAAAAATATAGATAGGTAAATGATATAAAATTACAATTTTATCCCCGATACCCTTATCCTAAACAAACAAACAGTGGCCCTCTATATCAGACGCATCCTCATCGTCCTCCTGTATAACCCACCTCGATTCGGTGGATTCCATCGAGAATCCGCCATTGATCTCCTCTCTCTCCTCCGCCATCAAATCCAAACCTTAGTGTTGAGTTTCACGAGCTGTGTTTGGCATACACACAGTATAGTAGCAACCAATCGAAGCTTTCATTTCAGAAGGAAAACGCCATCTCTGCTCTTTCAACTTCCAGCGTGCCTCACCTCACATCACAGCCTTAATTGTTTGAATTTTTTTTAAAACCAGAAGGAATTAATATTCTAACTTTTCTTCTTTAAATTTAAAATATAATTAGCCCGTCTTTGAAAAAGAGCTATATCTATCTCGCAAAGCATTTTTGCGATAACCCTTCTTCATGAAAGGGTGGCTCGCACTCGCAGGCCTCAGACACTATTTGAATGCAAATAAACATAAAAAGAAGAAAATATCATTATCAACGAGAGGGTATAATGGGAGTCCAAAAAGTGTGTGAATAGTGCGATGTCTGGGTTTTTCAAAAAAACCATCCTCACATTAGCTTTCTCAACAGTGCAAAAAGCAATCTTTCTCATCAAAAGTTAAAAAATCCATGCAAATGATATGGATGGTTTTTGATAAAAATCGGTTGAAACAAACGTGGTTATTCTAAAATCTAAACTTCATTTGCATAGGTATCTGTTAAAAGGCTTGTAACCAAACGCCACCTTAAAGTGTTTGGTTGAAGGTTTATTTTAGGATTGATGGGAAAATGTAGTTGGATATTGAAAAATATCACGTTTGATTCAGGTTTTTTCAAGAAATACCAGACAAATAGGATAGATGGAAAAATGATTTTTTGTGTTGATTTTTGAATAAAATTCACTATTACAGAATACCACTTGAGATGTGGTATTGTGAGATGATTGGAGAAGTGAAAAAACAGGTACAAAGTTTCTCGCGAACATAGATTTTGCATATTTAAATAAATTTTCCTAGTAATATTTGGGTCAACCAAACAACTTTTTTTACATTTTCCTATCAAACTCATTTTCCAACCATTTTCCTATCAATTACATTTCCCTAGTAAAAAAAAAATTCTCCCGAACCAAACACTGCTTAGAATAAAAAAAAAGATATCAATATCCCAAACAGCGAGGATTTCTAATATTTTATCTACTCTGCTTTGGCTGAAATTCAATTGCAACACGGAGAAAAGGATAGTTGATTTGTTTACCTTCTTGCTCTCGAGTCCAATGGTTAAATATGTTAGAAATTTAAACAACGTTCCAATCCCATAATTCTCGAGGACATGTGACATGAATCCATCCACCTCTTTGAAAATGGATATATATGGAATGAAACAAACAGACTTGGAGGGGGAATCAATATGCTTATAAAGGCATTGTCCAACCAAAAAACCACCTATTCTCTTGGATCAATTACTTTTAAAATATCAAGTTACTCCTCCCGGCTATAGCCTTAAAATCATGTATGTTTCTTCTTCCTTAAAACATATCTCAAACTTCTGCAGGAACAACTTATCAGAAAAATTAAATGGTGTAACTAAGCTAGCATCCTTGTTTATCAAATATCTGGACAGGACAACTATTATGTGACCGTATACAAGACCCTTTGAACTTTAATAGGATAGGATCCGTTTACAATTTTTTTTTTTTAAATTACACTAAGTACGACTGGTCATACACTACATGATTAAAGTATGACCGGTCGTACTTAGTGTAGTTTGTAAGAGTTTGTAATATAACCTGCTTCAATGTCTATTGCTGATGAAATGTCCTGTTCTATTCTAGACAGTACAAGTATTCCAAGGGAATGACAGAATATGATAAGAAGTCAAGTCAACAAAATTTAACGAATAAGTTACATAATTGGTGAAAATCACATGCAAGATTTATTTTTTCCTCTCACAGCTTCAACAGATAAGAAGAATCCGCCTTAAAACATTCCTAAAACTTCTAGTTTAGTGTAAATTGGCAATCTGAGGAAAATCATCTAAGTACGAAGCCTGTTGTTCTTGAAGCATATAACAAATTTGTGCAGGGAAAACTCCTAAGAAATAACAAATGCTGAAGACAAGCTAGCATGATTGATAATTAGACATCAGAGGACAATTAATTCAAGGGAATGACATAATAAGATAAGGTAATTAAATCATACCAAAATTTGATAAAGAAGTTACACACTTAGCGAAGGCTGCACGCCAAGTGTTGTCCCTGTTACTTGAAATATTCAGTTTTTCCTCGTACAGCTATATTAGATGAGAACAATCTTCCTTAAAACATTTGACAAAATTTTTGAGGAACAATTTCTCATAAATAAGAAATAGTCTAATTGTTGGGTGTGGCTCATACTTCGCATGTTGAAGAGGGCTTTTATTGTTGGGATCAGCAGAAAGGCAACTAGGGTTCCGCTCCCAGGTGAGCGGGCGGATGTCCGGGGGGTCAGCGCCTCTAAGCCCGTAGAGGCTAGGTACTATTGTGAACCTTTGATTTATTGTATTTTTTTTTCTTAATAGTTTGGGCTTGAGCTTATGAATAGCTATTGTTAGGGTTTTTTCTAATCCTATTTATATTTTCCTTGTTAATCGAGTGACTTTAACGAGTGGCGGTGAGATGAATATAGTACAGACAAGCTGGACGTAGCCAAAATTGGATAAATCAGGATAATCACTATGTCAATTCTCTCTCTTTTTCTCTTTTTGTTTGCTATTTGTGTGTGATTATTGATTTCCAACACTAATTATGTTTGCATTCTTTTCTCGCAGACCTTTTGAGATAAAAGAAACTGCAAAACTAAATCACTCTGAAGATATTCCAATCGATTCATCGCTTCACGTTTTGTCCGATTCGGTGTGGGTCTCGGGATTAAGGTTTTAAACCTTTTCCAAAGATGATACTAGAAAAGATCAAACACATACTCTCATCTCTACATGCTCAATTCTTTGAAGCCAACTAAATTACCATAATTTTGGTTATCCATCTCCTCCATATACTTATATAGAATAACCCATTTCCTTTAAGTCCTCACAAAGTCACAGCCTTCAACAAGTCACGCGAGCAGAGTATACTTGACCGTATCTCATGAAAGCTAAATAATCCATTAAAATAGCCACCTAACAGTAATACTCATGCAGAGTGTTTTAAAATTTGGCTCAGACCAGTTGGATAGACACAAGTCTCGGTGACCTGGTAGGTTCCCTGGTTAGAATGGTCATTTGAACCAATTCTGCAGTCAACTCAGTTTAGACCGATTAACATGGCCGAGACTTGGCGACTCGGTGACCCAGTTGACCATCTCTTTTGTTTGGTAAATCTTTTTTCTTGTTACTGATATTCACATTTTATGGTAAATATGATTAAAATGTAAGGTGAAAATAAGAAGGTATTTTGGATTACTGTAATTCATTTATGTAATTTAGTTACATCTTATAAAGATCTCAAGAAGTTAAATAGGGATAAACACTGATGGATTCATCTCAACAGTGAACACTTTCCCCTTAGTGTATACTTCATGTCTACCATTTGTTATCATGATTTAGTTTATCTGTGTTATGTCAAGGCACAAAAGATGCATTTAGCTTATATTGCAATTTTAATTCAATGTTAGGATATGGTCTAGATCTAGAAGCCTAGAAGTATATAATTATTTGCTATCGTTGAGAACCAATTTGTTTTTTGAAGCTCATTGATGGCTTTCTTATGTGAATTTTTAATATAAGTAACATGTTTATATTTTTTTTAATATGTGAATAGTAAATCCGGTTGAACTCAGTTGAGCTAATGATCCAGCGACCGAGTACCTCAACCTTGTTAATAACTGGTCTGAGTTTTAAAACACTACTCATACCCCATCCTTTTTCCCCCTCTTCTGAAGTGTGAAATAAATAAATCTTTTAATAAAAATGAATCCCATATTCTCAATTTTTTATCTCAAACTCACAATGACATCTTGAACTTGTCAAAACACAAGTTATAAATTAGAAATTGCCCATCTTAATACTAAACAAATTGACTAAAATCAATTGTGATTAAATTAGTTTTAAAGGTGGTAAACTTTTTTGGTGATAAGTATATCCTGTCCAAATAACATCAGTTTTGTGCATGCATAATTGTTTGTATTTTCTCTCCTCTTTTAAAATGACAAATGTTTTTCCCATTTAAAATCACAAACATATTTTCTTAACATTATTTAGATGATTAGTAGTAACAAATAGTAAAAAAAAAAATAAAAAAATAGTAACTATACATTTTCCCATAAATAAATTAAAGAAGAAGAAAGAGTAAATTATTAAAATTATCTATTAATATATCTATCATAAACAATAAAGAATCTTTCATATATCCATTCCCAGTTAATTAATTTTGTGGCATGGGGAGGCAGATGAAACAAATGTTTAATAAATCGTAACCACTAATCCATGGTGTTCCAATACTTTTGTCTGCTGTTGCTTCGCACTTGAATTGAAGTTCAGTAGAAAACCCACAAGAGAGAAAAAAAATGTCGACGGAGCCATTGGATTCCGATTCGTTCAAGCCCTACACACTTTCCCAAACCCTAAGCGGCCACAAGCGCGCCCTCTCCGCCGTCAAATTCTCCTCCAACGGCCGCCTCCTCGCCTCCTCCTCCGCCGACAAGACCCTCCGCACCTACGCCTTCACCAACTCCGACTCCGATTCCGACAGCCTAACGCTGTCGCCTATGCAGGAGTACGAGGGCCACGAGCAGGGCGTGTCGGATCTTGCCTTCTCCTCGGACTCCCGCTTCCTCGTGTCGGCGTCGGACGACAAGACTCTCCGGCTGTGGGACGTGCCGACGGGTTCGCCGATAAAGACACTTCAGGGTCACACCAATTACGTGTTCTGCGTCAACTTCAATCCACAGTCCAACATCATCGTATCCGGTTCCTTCGACGAGACCGTTAGGGTTTGGGATGTTAAGTCGGGGAAGTGCCTCAAGGTCCTACCCGCTCACTCCGACCCCGTCACCGCCGTTGATTTCAATCGCGACGGTTCACTCATCGTGTCTAGCAGTTACGATGGTCTCTGCAGGATTTGGGATGCTTCCACTGGCCATTGTATGAAGACTCTGATCGATGATGAGAACCCTCCTGTTTCCTTTGTTAAATTTTCCCCTAATGGCAAGTTTATTCTCGTTGGAACCTTGGACAACACTCTGGTAATTCAATTCTCTCTCTCTCTCTCTTTTGTTTTTTATAAGCACACACTGTTAACATAATCCAAATACTGAATAATGTCATTCCTCTGTTGTCATTTTCCTAGAACCTAGAGTTGTTGTTTTTCCTAGTTGGCTAGGGTCTCTTTAATTTGAAGAACAATTGTGTTTACCCTTGAAATTTAAGAAGCTACTTCTATTTCAATTTTAAATTTTTAGCTCAATCTTCTAGATTTTTCAGTAACTAACCATTTGTTCTTGGACTGAACTAAGCAATTACATGGTCTTGTAGTGTTCCTGTCTCGCTAAACCCGTGAAAAATGGCAGAACTTGTGATATTATGGATTTAAGAAGCGGGGATGATGTGATCTTTGAATAGTTAATGTACTCGTGTGTTTCATTATAAAATTCTTACTCATTAGTCTTGGAAAATTCTACCTGGATTTTGGGATCTTTTGCTGTGTAAATATGAAAAAGCAAAATGAATTGCTTTTTCATGTTAAGTTTCTCTAATGGACTCTAATTTGTGCAATATTATGTTTTTTTTTTTTTTTTTTTTTTTCGTTTAATGGCATACGGCTAATTTGATAGTTTTTTTCTTCTTCTCAGTTGTTGACTAGTCGATTTTGTAGCTCAATTGGCTGCAAGAATTAATTTTTTTTTTTCATGCTTCACCATTCTATGTGTTAGTCTAGTCTTCCATGTTATTGACTTACATGGGAATTTTCATTTCCCTGCAGAGACTTTGGAACTATTCAACTGGGAAGTTTCTGAAGACTTATACCGGTCATGTTAATTCAAAATACTGCATTTCATCCACTTTTTCTATAACGAATGGGAAATATGTTGTTGGCGGCTCAGAAGATAATTGTATATACTTGTGGGAGCTGCAGACACGGAAATTAATGCAGAAACTGGAAGGTCATTCCGATACCGTTGTGTCTGTGTCATGTCACCCTACAGAGAACATGATTGCTTCCGGTGCTCTTGGCAATGACAAAACTGTGAAGATCTGGACTCAACAGAAAGACTAATTTGATTTGGACTCTTGGTTAATGTTCCAATAGATTAGTTAAAGTTGAGTTATGAGTAACTGACTTGTGATGATACTTTTAGCTCATTTTGCAGTTGAGGATTTTTGTTAACAAACTTTGTAGCTTTTGCAGTTGAGATCACTCTTTTAATTTTGAGGATTTCATTTCTCATGTCCAATTACTTATCTTGTTTGGTAAACACGGATCTTGGGGATTAAAAGATAGAGTTCAAAGATCAAAAGAGATTAAGTTCAAAATGTACAAACACTTCAACTTTGAGATACAATTTTTCCAAGAGACCCTAGTTTTACAATATTGGATGGGATACCTAACATGTACAGAAAATCAACAGCCGTGTTGTTGTTCTTGCATGCATGGGATACCTAACATGGTTGGAAATTAACAGCCATGTTGTCGTACTTGCATTTATGGGATAACTAACCGTGATGATAACTTTGGGTTTGATTGAATTTTCCAACTGTTATGCTAATGCTTTAATCACAAATCCATAGAACTATCCAGTTGGGAACTTGGGAGTACCAACCTCCATGGATTGCAATTCAAGCTTCTTTATGGTCCTGTATTCTACTTATTCTTTAGGGGGGCGTTTGATAGAGGAGAATTTTTTTTTACCAGGTAAATATAATTATCGGAGAAATTGTGAGAAAGTTTGTTGGTAAAGTTGAAAAAAAATTGTTTGGTTGGACGAAATATTATCGAATAAATTGATTAGAGTTTTGTAAGTCCGTGTTTGGTTGAGGGTAAAATTTGATGGAAAAGTGGTATAAAATGACAAAAGTAACTCTTTTTAAATTTTGAAAAAATTGACAAAAGTAACTTTGACATAGATGTACAATCTGATGAGATTAGGTTAGAAAAGGTATATCAGTCACGTCTCTCATTTTCTTCTATCACTTTACCCGGTCAACTTACAAATACCATATTGTAAGTGGCATTTTTCATCCGTGTTTCTCGTCTGTTTTTTCTCACAATTGATAATGGATGGGTAAATTGGTTTGCTTGTAAAATTTTCGAAAACCATGAACCAAAAGTGGTCAAGAAGGAATGACACTTACTGATGCCTAGCTATCTCATTGGAATACACAAACCAAACCCACCCCTAAAGGTTGTTTGGCATGGGGATTCTTTTCGAAATGATGGGAAAATGGGGTGGGAAAATTTATTTTACCATGTTTGGTATAAGTAAAAGTAAAAAAATCACAGGATACCTTTTTTCCCATCATTTTCGATTTTAACTACACATAGGAAAAATAATCTTATCCCACCCATGGTATTATTTTTTTCTCACCAACTGAGAAACGCATTCACATTATGAGACAAAAATGTCCTTATACAATATATCAACAGATGTGTAAAAATGGATAATTTTGTTATTTCGGTTCAGATTTCCATCAATATTTTACAATCAACCAAACATTGCATCAGTAAAATTAACTCTTTTCCGAAAAAAAAAGTTGGCCTACCAAATACCTTTTCATAACTTATATGGAAAAAAGAATTTTCCATCCTATTCCCAAAAAAAAGAAAATTCTGGTAAAAAAAATATCTCTCCTTGCAAACTCCTCCTTAGTGTCCAGACCCCAAATGGTTTGGGCAAACTGAAACCAAGGAACACAGTAAGACAAAAAAATTAGCTAAAGTTTTTTTTTTCCCTAAGAAGGGCAAAATGTACAAATTAACCAAGTTTATAAAGATTTTAAGAACATACTTGGGTGGAAAAAATTACATGGGGTAAATGATTAAAAAAAGGTAAAACTTTAATAATACCAAATGTTTACTTTAGAATAAAAAATGCCTCTAAGTTTTTTTCTAATCAGTGATGCCCAAACATTCAGAAACTTAGGAACCTAAAATTTAACAACTTATATAAAAAGAAAAAAAAAACATTGTTCTTTTATTTAAACTCAATGCACATAACCATTCAAATGAGTCCTTTTTTTACAATTTCAGCATAAAATTTCAATAATTTTATAAAGTTTTTTCTTTATAATCTATTAAATTATGATAAATACCTTTTTCGCAAGGTGATAAGTAATTTAAACGAAGGCCACATGGGTTTTTAACTTTTCCCTGTACTAAATTTTCAACCAATTTCTCTCATTTTACTTCGTCTATGGTGTGCACTACTGGCGGATGAAGACGCAAACATCAACTGGATTTAATGTACAAACAAATCGAACATCTTATGATCATCCCAAAATTTGTACATGCGTGTCACTCGTGTACAATCTCAGATTGATAAAGAGTTTGGTAAGAACATGTCTTCAAAACTTAGAAAATGCGGAGAATTCTAGGCTCAAGTCTCCCACGTGGACACAGGGTAAGGAAATGGGAAAATGACCCCTGTTTGGATATTTTAGTAAAGGGAAATGATTGGAAATGAAGAAGAAGAAAAATTCCCCGATAATATTAAAACTTAAATATTCTTCTTACACGAAGTGGGTGATGAAGATGGAAAATGAATTTTCTTGATTAATTTTTAAATTATATATACCCTGTGCAGCTGTGCTTGTTTTCTAAATTTCTAATATTGTCAATGTTGAGGTTATAATTCTCTCTTCAAAAGTTGAATATTAAAGTTAATGGTTTAACTCTTTATTATGCTTAGTTTTTCTATCTTCTTTGTTAAAGCGATGTCATGGTTATATCTAATGGTGGTTGATACCAGTAAAAATAAATTAAAATGTTTGCAGAAGTTTCCAAATAATAAAAATAAATTATGTTTGCAGATAAACTTTACTTTTAATGACACAAATTAAAATATAAAAATTGTCACTTTAAGAATCCACGCGTCAGATTTACGTAAACAATTGTTCAAACAATTGTTTGCACAATTGTTTTGGTAATAAAAGTGCTTATAGCCGTAGTCTAAAGGAAAAAGCATACTAATGTTAATTATATAGACAAAATTATATTTATATTTTATATTATTGTATTTGATTTTAAAATTCACTAAAAAAAATATCCTTTTACATTATTATATATAGGGATTAAAGTTTCTGCTGTTACTTTTGATAAGAGTGTCGGCAGTTCAATCAAACGACCCCGTTTTGGTCATTTTTTAAAAATCAAATTGCTTACTGACTAACTTACTGTGCAACTCTTCCATATTCATCGCATGCCTTCTCTGTTCTTTTTTATTCTTCTTTCATAAACGATGGTCATCTTCGTCTCGTGAATTTATCCATACTTGAATTCAAGTTCTTTCCTTTGCCAACAACTTGTGAAATTGGGACCAAAGCAAAGCCCAAAAGCTGGTCTTCAAGTTTCAGAACACCATCCAAATAACTGAAAAAACATTCACGAAATAAATTTCTAGCCCTAATAAACATCCAAATCTCACATTTCAGAACACCATCCACCTCATCCTCAAGTTTTCATAATAATTCTGTTGGGTTTTTGCCACCTCCATCTTCAAGAACTGGAATTCAAATATGAATAAATTCACATACGAGAGAGACGAAGATGACCATCATTTATGAAAGAAGAAACAAAAAGAACAGAGAAGGCAGGCGAACGACGGAGGGGTTGCACCGTAAGCAATTTGATTTTAAAAAAGGACGAAAACGGTGTCGTTTGATTGAACTGCAGACACTCTTATTTATCAAAAGTAACAGCAGAAACTTTAATCCCTTATATATAACTTTGGAATTCATTATGAATATCAACACTACACGTACCCAATATTGTAAACTCACACTTACAAATTAGGAAATGTCATAATTATAATTGCTAACTGTTTATTGTTTTACATAGATATTAACATGATTAAAATTAGATTTGACTTTATTTTTTTTGTCATTTTATCATTTTTCTATAGAATTAACTAATATATGTTGGGTTATTCAAGTGTGATGAGTCCATATTGGTTGATAATGGATTAAGTGAAGTGTATAAAGTGAAGAGACTATGAACCCAATGCCTTAAGGTTCTAGGTTGTGACATGGTGTCTGAAACACTTAGTGTGATTGGGCTAGCTTAGCCCATTGGTGATGGTCCCCTGCTATGGGATCATTTTGGACCCGCCTGACAGTGATATCAGAGCTTGATTGAGCTCGATCTAGTCTGGTGATTGGCTAGGAGGCGGATTGAGTACTTAGCCCTGAGATTAGGGGTGTAAATGGGCAGGACTAAGCTAGGTTTTGGCTTAAATAGGCCAAGCCTGTGTAAAAATTACTGGGTATGGTCTGGCCTATTAGCATGTGTAGACTCCAAATTACAAGTCTGACCCTATATTCAAAAAATAAAAGTCTTGCCCTAGGTCTGTTAGCCTGTTTAAGCCTATTAAACATTCAACAATTAAATGAATATCTAAAATAATATTATTTTGTTATTCAAAATTATTAAATAATAATTTTATTTATTATATTTTAAATAAATAATATGATATAGGCCGGCCTGTAGGCTTATAGGCCCAATATGTACAAAAAAGTCTATGACCTGTTTTTTAAATAGGTTTTTTTAAAAGCCTAGGCCTATTCTATTTTATTACTTATAATAGGCCAAGTATGACCTAATATAGGCTAGGTCGTAGGCCCCTGTAGGCCGGCCTAGCCCATTTATACCCCTACCTGGGATACTCTGTTGAGGAAAAGCATACCAATAGTGAATTTCACATTTGAGGGGGAGATTATTGAATTATTCAAGTATGATGAGTACTACATTGGTTGGTAATAGACTAAGTGTATATAAATAAGGTGACCCATGAACCCAATGTTTTAAGATTTTGAGTTGTGACATAGTATCAAAAACACTTAGTGTGATTAGCTTAGCTTATTTAATTAGTGGTGGTGCTCCGCCATAGACTCCCTCTAGACTCGCATTACAATATATACATAATAACATTTTACAGATAAAAATATACCTCATATTGTAATTAATTACTTTTTAATATAATGATGCATTTGATAATTCAATAATATTATTAATTTCTCTAAGATAATCTTATTATATAAAATAAATATTGGTTCTATTTGAATTTTAATAACAACCTAGTTTTTTTTTTTGGATATTAATAACAACCTAGTTATCCAACAAAAAAAAATAAAAAATAACAACCTAGTTTCTCAACTAACATCAGATACAGTCCCGAATGCACATGTATAATAACTGTTGTGTAAACAAAGACAAAGTATGCCACTTACTATTTTCCCAAAAGAAAAATAATAAAAAAGAAAAATAATAAAAAGTCAGCATCTTTATCGTTGAATCGTAAATAAATAAGGTTTCTTAATATTTTGATTTAACCATCAACCATATAATCTTAATATTTTGTTTTTGGGTTTTATTAATGTTATGTGATATAATATAAGGGTAGTTTCAAACTCACACAATAATGAAGAGAGAGAAAGTAAAATGATGAAAGAAAAAGAAAAATATGTAAATCTCACATCTTTAATATATGTATAGAAAAGTAAAATTATGTTATGTAAAATAATAAACATAAAATTCTTTGTTTTTTCTTTCTAAGTGAAGGAAATAGGTGCAGTGGATGAATGCAGGCAATGACATGAACCCTTCGAGGCTTTCGATACCTACCAATGAGTGGAGTGGGCCTGTCTCTGTCTTGATCGTACATTTTTATTTTTATTTTTATTTTTGAACGATAATGGGCTATGACTTGTCTCTCCCCTCCATTAAAAAACCTACTTCTTCACCATCATAAACGCAAACAGTTTAATTGCTTCATAGTTCATATCAATATTCAAAATTATGAGGTAACAAAATACCGGGCACATTTTAGCCATGCCAATTCCAAATATATAAATCAAACCAATGCAAATCAAAATAAATAAAGAACAAAATTATTGGAGAAGTTGCTAATACCATGCTATAGTATTTCAATCATTGTACTGAATATATATTGCATTCCAAAATCTGTTTTTCTTGTCATCAAACATCATAATCGAAAACTCCACATGCATCCCGTTCGTTTCTCGGATGATTAAAAAAACTGCTTGCAGTTAAAAAAAAAATTCTTAAAGCAAAATTGCTCATATCTCAAGAAACAACAATCATCTAATGGCTCATAACAGCTCGGGCACACAACAGCATTTTCCAATATAATTTTTCACATTTTGACATATAATAATATGATCCACGATCTATATATATGAAGCATTAAACTTATAAAAAATAAGATAATACAAATAATTAGTCCTAGTTTCCCCTTGTTTGAACGTCATTTCTCACTATTAGTAGATAATATACTTTCATTCACTTCTGAATTTCAAACAATTATTATTTTTCAAATATCTATATTTATAGTTTTACTCATTTATACTTCAGTTTTTCAGGACCAATGCTTTGATATTTAAATATTAAAAGAAGTAATCTTTCACAAAAAGTATAGTCAAATAACTTAAATGAATTTTTTTTCTAGAAAATAAAACTCAAATCAATAAAAAAAATGTAGATATTAATGCCTTCATAATGACTAAAATCTAAATAAGTATAAATATAACAAGTTAACAACTTATATATAATAATAATAAAAACTATTGGGAGTACAAATATAGGGAGTAATTATCTATTTTAAACTATAAAAAATTACTAGTTAAATTATAAATAGAGTAAATATCATTTTTGGTCCCTGACAAAAAACACGGTCCCTAATTTAGTCCCTTACAAAAAAAAAAATAGTCTCGAGGTCCCTAACAAAATTCAAAATAGACCCATTTAGTTGAAATTGTTGTCCCTCACAAATTTAAAAAAGACCCATATATTAGTCCCTCAAAAGGACTAAAATGGGTCCACTTTGAATTTGTTAGTGAACTAATATTTTTTTGTAAGGGACTAAAGTGAGGATCGTATTTTTTTGTTAGGGACTCAAAATAATATTTACTCTTATAAATAACTTATATAAATTAGCCATTTTTAATAAACTTTTAAGGATATGTCTGTCCTTTACTTCTTTATAGTAAAGGAGTTCGGAAGACTCGTTCGACCATGTGACTTTTGCGGTCAGAAAAATAACGATCTCTCACTGCAGAGATTGAAATCAATTATTGAGAGAAAAGAGAGAATGTGTTTTAGTACCAAAAAAATATAAATCCCAAAGGAATAATCATATTTTTAAATTGACAAAGTAAAAATATATTAAAATTTCAAATCTCTAAACAGAATTTAAAAAAAATAAACTTACAGGAATTGTAATCTTTAATAAAATAAAATCTCATTTTTCTATAATTTTAATTTAATATTATTACATATATTATTAAATTTTTGAAATAAAGGTATTAGTTTGTATATTATTAAATTTAATAACTAACGTATTAATATGTAAGGATGTAAAAAAATTGTAATTACTAGAGAGATTATGGTGTTTATTTATGAGTTTCCTTTAGTAGAGAGAAGTTCTGAATGGAATGAGATGGCTACGTAAACGCGCTACATGTAAGCGATATGAATAGCTCACGTTATACTGTACACATGTTGTTCTACCACTACAACACACACACACACTCTGCCCTCTGTTTTATTTACACTTTGTTTACGGTGTTGCTTTAATCACTTTTACTCTCATCTTTATGGCAATGCAACCTCTTCAAGCATTTCAACTATTTTTTAGATCTCGTTCTCAATTTGAATATTAAACATGACTTGGAATTCAAAAATTTAAGTTCGACATAAGTTATGGATAGATTTAAAAAAAAGTCAAGGATAAAATTGTGAGATACAATTGATAGGTTAAAATTAAATTAATTAGTATGAGTATGTAACATTAATAATTATTACCAAAAACAAATTTCATTAATAATTAGAATAAATACTTTTTTGGTCCTCAACAAATTTCACGATCCCCGCTTTAGTCCCTAGCAAATAAAAAGGTTCATCGTGATCCTTAAGAAATTCAAAATGGACTCATTTAGTTGAAATTGTGATACCTCACAAATTCAAAAAAAACTCATACTAGTCCTTAAAAGGACTAAAACAGATCCATTTTGAATTTCTTAAGAACCACGATAAACCTTTTTATTTACTACGGATTAAATCGGATATCATAAAATTTTCAGGAACAAAAAAGTATTTATCCTAATAATTATGAGTAGAAATGGCAATGCGGATCAAAGCTATATTGTAGCAGAAAATCTCTCTAACTCAAGAGCGTAGTTCACTCAACTCAAGGAAAAGCAATTCACGCAGCAATATACTCTCTCTCTCTCTCTCCCTATAGTATGATTGGAATCTTCAAAGCCACGTGTCACTGAAGTTATCGACGCGCCAAACGCGCGTGTGGATATACTTCTCTGGCTGGACAAACGAGAACCCTTTCCTTCTCTCTCTAAACTCATACATTAAATTTATATTATATTATATTATTATTTATTTATTTATTTCAATGTCTTTCTTTCTCTATATATCAGCAAGAGAGAGAGAGAGAGCGCTAAGGGAACATGAGAACGACTTCGGTTTCCATCATAATTTTTCTTTTGTGCCTCTTCCTCAGCACAGTCTCCTCCAATTCAACCTTTGTAGCCATGAAACTTCATCTTTCTTAACGCAGGTATCACTACTCTCCCTTTTTTTTTTTTTCTCTCTCTCTCTCTCTCTATCTCTTTCTTTCTTTATGTATGCACAACTTTGTATATTATATATAAAATATTATAGATATAACTATATGTGTTGCTTTCTTCATCAAAAACCATGCTTTCTTCACGTTTTCTTTATTTTCAATCTGCTACTTGCCAATCGGTATATAACCTACACGACCCATTTTCACAGCTTCGCTTCTTCATGTGGGTCTCACCGGGTTCTTCTTCTTCCATGGAGGTAATACTGCCAAAATAAAATAAAATTTATTATTATTTTCGTTTCTTTTATTTTCTTTCGCTTCCGCAACCTCTCTCTTTCTCTCTCTTGTGTTTTGCTTGTTCTCGTAGTAAATAAGTTGAATTTTCTTGGATCATATATTGGAATTCTCACTGGGAAACCTGTGCCTGTGCTTGTCAGTTTCTTGGTTCTTTTATTTATTTGTTGTTGTTTAATCCATACATATATATATATATATATATATATATATATATATATATATATATATATATTCATCTCGTGTTCTTTTTTTCTTTTCCTGTTCTTCCTTGTTTGAGTTCTGTTTCGGCTTTGACATTTGAGAGTAATGTGCTTGATGGGTTGTCATGCATTTGTTTAAAGTTTTCAACTTTGGATGTTGGGTTACTCTCGTTTCAGGAAATGGATCTGGTTTATTACCTTGTTCTCAGTTTGCAGCCGGTGCTCTCCCCTCCCTTTTGTGTTGCCTGCTTCCTCCCATAAATAAATATATCAACTCCTTATTATGAACTTTTTTTATTTGGCAAAGTTTGTTCTTGTTAGTTGGTTTCGTTGGTATAAACTTGGAGAATCTGCTTCAGCTTAGTTTGTTCGAGTTTTTATTCCTAAATGCTGTTATTCTGGGATTTTTGTACTTATGCAAGTATGCTTTCTTTCTTTATTTATTTTTGGCTAAATTAAATAATGTTTATATCCGTCATAAGATTTATGAGAATGATTTTATTTTATTTTTTTAATTTCTACAAATTTCTAATTTTTTTTTTCTTATTACTTTAAATTACTCCATTAATTTTGCCGATTGGAACTTGTGACTATTAGAATTAGGAATATAATTTTTATATAAATCGTATCAGGATGTTATTATCCTAATGCTTCTGAAACATTTTATCTATGCACACCACTAACAAGGCTAGCAAATCTCACTGGTGAATTAGTATGATGTGTTAGCGTATAGTTTAGGTTAAGTAGTGAAGTGGTTCACTGGTTTGGCTCTGGCTGACTCCTTGGTAAAGGTTAAGTGAAAAGTTTCAGTACGATTGAAGCTCTTTGATTTTGGTTAATTTAATAGCATTTACTTAGGAAAGTGTTGAACCATCACCTTTTCATGCAATTGATGTTTTTGCTAGAGATATAATATAAAATCATTAACGCGACCTTCACTTAATAGCTTAAGCTTTTGAGTTGAAGTGATTCTTTGTGACGGAACAAGTGGTCACAAGTTCAATTCTCTATGTCCCATAAATAATTAAATATTATGAAGTTTCTTATCATAGGACTCTTGCGTGAGGGTAGTGTTGGAGAGATATAGTATAAAAGTGTTAATGTGACCGTCGCCTAATAGCTTAAGCTTTTGGGTTGAAATTGACATATAGGCCGTAATGTTACTTTCTTTCTGTCGTCAGTTCATTACAAAAACATCATCACTTTCTTAATGTTTTCTTTAAATGTCTTCAAATTGTTGGACAGGTGGATGCAGGGCAAGTTAATGACCTTATGAATTGTATTGATGAGCAAGCAGATGAAGAATCACTTTCTCCAGAAAGTCCTGATGTTTATGATGTTTTTGGTGATCCAGACATATTTCCTAGGGTGGGTGAGCAGTACCAAGTTGAAATTCCATCTTTAATTACAGAATCTGACGATTACTGGTTTCAAAGGAATCCACATAAGGCAGAAAGCACTGCTAGTGCTCTCCATAAGTTTCGAGTAGGATTACCCATACCAATAACTTGGATTAAGGATGAAGTAGAGTACAATAAGAAGAATCCACTGGAAGATGCATCCAAGTCAATTGGAGTTGCCAATAAACTTGAATCTTCAAAACTAGAATGTAACAAAGAGATCCAGAATGGTCTGGACTATGATAAACCGAATCCTAAACTTGAGGCCATTGACAATACGTTGGTCAATAGAATAGAATTGGGAGGATCAGAAAATTCCAATGTGCAGCATGAAACAAAGATTAGGATGCATGAGGAGCATAAAGGCCGTTGTCTGGTTCCTGGGTCTGCAAGTGGCACCTGGAATGAAATTGAAGAGGCCAGTTTCATCCTTGGCTTGTATATATTCGGGAAGAACCTTGTTCAAGTGAAAAGATTTGTTGGCAATAAGAAGACGGGGGATATACTGTCATTCTATTATGGGAAATTTTATAAGTCAGACAAATACAAAAGATGGTCTGGATGTAGGAAAATGAGAAGCAGAAAATGCATTTATGGGCAAAAAATATTCACAGGACCAAGGCAACAAGAGCTTTTGTCTCGTTTACTGCCCAATATATCAGAGGAATGCCACAATAAATTACTTGAGGTACTGACTTAAATTCTTCCAAAGTTTATGCCATTTTAATATCATCATTGCTCCACTGTCATGGATTGGATCTATAGACCCTTCATTCCCCGTAATTGGCTGGGAAAAAGGCCATCTCTCCTCCCTCCCTAGTCCCAACCATATATAGAACAAAAAGAAACTTTTGAAAATGCCAGAATTTATAGGTGTCAACTGTTCTTTCTTGAATAAACACCACTTCTGAAAGTTATGATGACATTTGGTTGAGGGTGGATTAGAGTTTCATGGCCATACTTTCTTTCGAAATAATTCGTAGTACTCAAATTAAGGAGAATTCACAGCCACACCTATTTGAGTTTTGTTTCTATATCGTAATGAAAAAGTTCAGTGTAACAGTCATTTTCATTCTAATTTGAAAATCTGAATGTGTCACCATTTTATCTTAAAATTGTAAAGTCTTTGCATCATGGACCTCAATAGTTATGCAGATCAAAACCATATTATCAGGTCTGCTGCCTTTTTATTCACTTGGAAATTGGAATGTGTTATAACTATATTAAAATTCAATTACTTGGTAGGTGTCCAAGACATTTGCAGAGGGGAAAATGCCTCTAGAAGATTATGTTTTAGCTTTAAAGGCCTCAGTTGGGCTGAAAGCTCTTGTTGAGGGAGTAGGAGTTGGTAAAGGGAAAGAAGATCTTACAGGTCTGAGTGTAGATTCTACGAAGTCCAATCACGCACATCCTCTTCGCCCAGAAATGCCAGTTGGCAAAGCATGCTCAATGCTTACACCAGCAGAAATAATAAGCTTTCTGACAGGTGATTTCAGACTAAGTAAAGCTCGAACAAGTGATCTCTTTTGGGAAGCTGTTTGGCCTCGTTTACTTGCCAGAGGTTGGCACTCTGAGCAGCCGGGTAGTTATAATTATGCTGTTGCTTCTAAGCATCCTCTGGTGTTCCTTGTCCCTGGAGTTAAAAAGTTTTCAAGGAAACTAGTTAAGGGGAATCACTACTTTGATTCCGTTAGTGATGTCCTGGGTAAAGTTGCTTCAGATCCTGAGCTAATTGAGCTTGAGACAGTTGCAGATAATGATTGCACAAGCAAGGAAGGAAATGGGTGGACAAAAGAGACAAAACTGGCCCGGGAAAATTCCCCTGATCAGCCACGCCATTGCTATCTCAAGGTCAAAACTCCAAATCGCAGTACAGATGTTATGAAATTTACTGTTGTGGACACAAGTCTGGCCAGTGAAAAGATGAAAAAGGTGAGAGAACTTAGAAGCTTACCATTTGGAGTCTTAAGAGCATCTTCTTTTGAAAATGATTCGGATGATGAGACTACTTCAGAGGAGCAAAGAAATGAATCTGAGTCTGTGAACACCATATGCTTTGATAGCGGGAAGAATGATATTACTAATGCCAGTGAAGTTAACATTGGCAAGGGTGTCTCTTCAGACTTGAATGGTTTAGGAAACAACCCTTCAAAAGAGGAGCTTCCAAGGAGCAGCATGTGTTCTACTAGTCTATCTGCTGCCTGCAAGGACCAGGAGACAGACTTCTTGAGGAGAAGAGATGGTATGAATGTTCAATCACTCCAGAGAATGGTATCTGATAACAAAAATGATCTAGTTCCTGTTACAAAAAGACGGAGGAGATTAACTGCCTGTAGCCGTGCAAAGAAAAACAGCAACACTTCTAATTTCTTTGTGGTTCCCAGGGTAAAACAAGAGGAGGCCAGTTTCTTTCTGGACCTAGATAATTCAAAATCCAGTGAGAATGTAATTGATAACTTTGTGGCTCCCGGAGTGAAACAAGAGAAGGCCAGTTACTATCCTTGCAATTCGAAATATTGTGAGATTCTTTCACCCCAGAAGAATAACTCGTTATCTGGTTTTCCAACCCAGGAGAACAAGACGTTAGCTGATCCTCTGTCAAATCACAGCTCAATCATCAGTGGAGAAGCTCTTCCTGACACTAGTTCTTCGGGCAGTAAGGATCAACATGAGAAACCTCAGCCACGGACTATGATTGACCTTAACTTACCTGTTTCACCAGAGGTTGAAGCTGATGAACCAATGGTAAATGAAGTGACTGAGATACAGCAAAATAACACAAGCAAGGAATCAGATGAGCTCCATGTAGGAACAAACATCACAACTGTTGATCACTCTGACCATCAGCCTGACATGCACACCCGAAGGCAGAGCACAAGAAACCGGCCACCCACAACAAAAGTGCTGGAGGCTTTTGCTTTTGGATATCTAGACAGAAAGGAGAAGCGCAGAAGTAGAGATTATCCCCAAGACAGTTCAGTATCAAGACCTTCTCGGCGTGTGTATCGCAAAGTGGAAGGTTCTAGAAGTGGGAATGGTAATGGTGCAGGTTCTAGTAGTGGAGGTGCAGGTTTTGAAAAAGAGGAAACAACAAATGATGTTAGTAATGGTAATGGTAATGGTAGCAGTAACAGTAATGTGACATATACAGGCTTCAAGTGTAATGAAGGATAGAAGGAACCAAGTTTTCAATTTAAATTCTGGACTCAGGATGAGAATGATACTTCTTTGAATCTATGCTGGGAAAGATGAGATAGCTGCGTAAGACATGAACAAGATAGCAGCACATTCATTCATTGAACTAATACAGCATATACAGGATGGTTAGATTAGATACAAACTTCGAAGAAAGGTTATAGCTTAAAGCCTTAAAATCTTTCCAAGGGAATGTAGAGTATCAACCAGAGAAATCTTTCTTGTCTTGTCTTCTCAGCTTCTAGTCTTCTGGAGTTGAAGTTTTATGCTTTTCTGATTTCTTAGTTGCAGTGCCATGCCAGCCTCCAATCTCAAACAAGGTTTCAAAGACTTCCTGCTGCCCCCCCTTATTGATCAAGTGATTTGTCAATGCTGCCCAGTTATGAATAGAATAAACAGAAAGCCTATGCACATTATGACGGTAGTTTTCTTTTTTGTCATCATAATTAGATGTTTTTAACATCGTCAATTCTGTCACATGATGACAGAGTAAAGGAAAACGGAGCAGTTATAGTAGGCTTTTCCCCTGCTTGGGTGTGTCCTCCTGAGTGATGACTCCAAATATTCATTATACATGCATATATGAAGTAATTTTCATTCATCATTAGTTGGTGGTTATTTTTAATAACTTGCCTTTGCCTTTGCCTTTTTGCTTCAAATATCAGCAAGCGTTGTTAGTTATGCTTTGCTAAATATATAATGGTTTAATGGAGAGGAGGAAATGAGAGGTGTGGCTCATGGAGTGCATTTTAAGTACTCCTCCGAGTACTACAATTTTTTTTCCTGACAAGTGGTGAAGTAGAAAGCCATTCTCTCAAGATAACTTGTTCATTTTGCTTAGGTTTTTTTGGTAATGTATATGAAAATGCTCCCATATTTGTCAATAAATGCAAGAAAGCACATTCATCTTTTACTAAAAGATACAATGTTTATGAATTTAAAATTTATATTACATTAATTTTAAAGTTTTGAAGTAAATTTTATACCCTTTTCGATTATTATTTGAAACGGTTATACAATATTTTAATAATTAAAAAAAATTAATCCCAATCAAAAGCATAAATAATTATATTTAGTTGAATTACTTTTTATTGAAATATTTTAACTATGATTATCATGTTATTAATCTTCTCTCTCACTTATTAAAACCAAAATAAATTTAAAAACATTAATATCACATTAATTTTTTAGAAGGACAAATGAAATAATATTTCATTTTTTGTGAAGTGACAAATAAAAAATTATAAATTGTTTTTATTTTATTTCAATCAAACAAAATATTTTTCGAAATTCCTTTTTTTATTTATTTAGTATTGTCAATCATGAATAAAAATTTCAAACTCATTTATTTCTATAACCAATTCTTCGTAATTTTTTTGTTAAATATTTTCAGATAAATAAAAGACTAAACTCTCATAATATAAATAGGCGTTGAAGGCGAAAACTTTTTATAAAGTTAATATGTATAAATTTTGAAGTCAGTTTAAAGTCCACACCATTGTTGTCAAAAATTAGTATAAAAATGTAAAAAGTTACGTTTTTACTAGAGTGGTACATGTTAAAATTTAAGTAAAAACGATCGTTGGTGAAAATTAGTAGAAACGCCGCGTAAAAACGATAAAAACTTACATTTTTACCCTTTTTACTTAAAACTAAAAATTTAATAAAAAAAAGATTTACAAATTTTTCTTTTTTAAAAAACTTAATTTTCATTTTTCCCAAATCAAATTCACAGTATCTTAATATCTTTTTGTTTAGATATATATTTTTTATAATTATGTCTTATAAAGCTGCAATTCTATTATAAGTTATGCTATGGGGATCGTTTTGTGTTTTTGGATCATTGTGTACATTAAAAGAAGTGAAATTATATCCTGATGAACGATGATCCAAAATTTGCAGAGTGTATGAAGCAGTTATAACAGATTGGTTATCCATTACTTATTAATTATCACTGTTTATAATTTTGATACTTGGTTATGAAAAATCATTTTCCTTTTTAGATAGATAAGTAACTCAACACATATGTTTATTGTGTGATTTTTTTTACATGCATATATATAATTTTATATCTTGACCTTATGTAGTAGAATATAAAAATTTTACGGTTCGTGTCATTTTACATTTTACGTTTCTATCATCCTTTTCTTTTCGTTTTTTACATAGAAAGTCGAATTTTACAACATTGATCAATACGCTTAATTAACCGAGCTTTCTCTGTTCACGCCATCTGATGTTGGTAATCATTTCTTCATAATCTAATGTAAATATATTTTTTTCTTTTCTTTTCTAACATTTCCAATTTGCAACTAACTTTTGGGTCTCACATAAATAGCATCGCAGCCAAATATAAGTTATCGCTTTCTTAATTAAATTCCACCAAATGTTTTGGGCTCAATGAATTCTATCATAGTAATGCCTTCGTGTCCACCATGATTATTCAAGCATTCAAGCCATACGTGCTTTACAATTAAACTAGCCACCTGGCATCATTATTATGTATCATTTGTATAAATATAGTCTCGATTTTTATTTTATAATTTCAACAACCACCTCACATAAAAATTAATAAATTGGGCTATACCAGAAAGTCAACATCGTTATAGGTTATTATTTTGATATTTAGTGATACAATGAAAGAAAGTTTACGTTTCTTTCTGCGATATTTGTTAACAAATAGTGAATGGAATGTATAAAAGAAAAATTAGGTGGAGTGAAATGAAACTCTCCAAATTCCTTCTTTTGAATCCCTTATTCCTTATTTGGATAGGAAAAAAAAATGGTTATATAGAGGTGAGAACGACCAAAATACCACACTATTCATAAAAAAGTTACCTAACATTAGGGGTGTCAAAACGGGTTGACACGACACGAATTCGACACGACACGAATACATCAACATTAACACGACACGAATTTTTATTCCTGTCAAAATCTTCAACACTGACACGACAGGAATTTTTTGCAGGTTGACACGACACGACACGAATAACACGCAAAATAGGGGTCAAAATGGTAATTGACAAAAAAAAATAAAAAAATGGATCGATATTAAAAAAAATTAAAATAATAATAATAAAAAATTAAAAATAAAATAATTTAAAAAAAATACGGGTCGACACGAACACGAATACATCAACACGAACACGACACGAATTTTTTTGCGGGTCGACCCGCGTGTCAAAACCTATATTGACACCCCTACCTAACATGAATTGGAAAAAAAAAAATTCTTCAAAATATCATGTCACCTAACTCGTTTCAACACCTGACAATTAGGTATGGACACGTGACAACATATTCATGGCCATGTAAGTTGCTGCACAATGCAGCGAGATTACGTGGCAGACAACTTCTGCCACAGCCTTCCACGCGGCATAAAAAGCTAGCAAACTTAGCGTGTTACGTGTCTGACACGTGTCAAACTCGCTATGCTGCATAATATGTCACGTATCAGCTTTTTTAATAAATTCACCACTCCTAAAAATAATTAATTAACATCTAAAATAATTTAAATTAATAAAAATAAATCAAACTAAATTAATTAACAAACATAAATTTAATTTAATTCATTAACACTTCTAAATTAAATTATATTATTTAACAATTCAAAACAATTTCACCTTAACATAAATTAAATAAAATTAATTAACACTCCTAAAAATAATTAATTAATAGTTATAAAATAATTTAAATTAATATAGACAAAATTAAACTAAATTAATTAACAAACATAAATTTAACTTTATTCATTAACACTCTTAAATTAAATTAAATCAAATTACTTAACAGTTAAAAATATTTTAATTTAACATAAACTAAATTAAATTAAATTAATTACCACTCATACACTAAATTAATTAACACATAAATTAAATTAACAGTCCTAGATTAAATTATTTTAACATTAAGTTATCCAAAACTAAAAAAATTCAAACCAATATTAATTTTCCTTAAATCATTTTATTTCAAAATACAAAATTCAATAATTAAAATTATCCTATAATTTATTAGACCACAATGATGCAAGAAATGGGAAGAAAAATGACGAATTTATTAGACCAAAAACGCTAGACTGATGGGCTACTTACACATAATAAGCTGTGCAACACAGCATGTATAGCCACGTGTCAGAAAAACTAACATGCTATGCAGCATAGCGAATTTGACACAACGTGTCAAACATGTAACACGCCAAGCTGCTTAGCGTTTTATACCATGACAAGTTGTGATAAAAGCTATCTGCCACGTAATCTCGCTGCATTGTCCAACAGCTTATGTAGCCATGAACCTGCTGCCACGTGTCCACACCTAACTCGTCAGTATTGTAACGAGTTAGATGATATGATATTTTGAAGAAGAAAAAATCCGATCCGTGACATTTAGGTAATTTTTTTTTTTTGCGAAAAGTATGGCATTTTGGCCGTTATCCCTATATAGAGTGAGATGAGTTCCCTCTTTTCCATCACATACCAAAGATAGTTCCTGAAAACTATGGATCTTGAAAGTTTATAACTGCCAAAGATAGTTCCTGGAGTTCAAATCTGCCAGGACCATATCTAACCAGGAGGAGTCCCTTCTTTTTCAAATGTAACAAAAAAGGAAGACTTTGCACCATTTTGGAAATTTACACTTGGAAATCAAAATCATGTGTAAGTATCAAAGAACAACCACCTCAACAGGGCAAGGCTAAAAGGTAACACATGTTGATGTATGCTATAGATCTTAGCCGCCTCCTAAATTTTCTTCCATCTTAAAGAAATGCAATTTTATCAACTACCACTATAATAAAATCAAATTAGCATATCCCTCACGCTTTCTTCCTATCCCAAGTGGGAATCAATTTATGCTTTAGAAAAGAATATGATTTAATCATAAAAAAAGTGGAGGCGAAAAAATCAAGTCAAAAAGGACTCTAGCCAATCTGATGTCAATTCATATGCAACAAATGTGACAGCACCGGCTGGTGCAGCTTTAACAGTTGATGGGATAATCCCTTTGTATAGACCAGCCCAACCTTCAAACCGTATTATCCGTTGCATGGCATCAGACATATTCCTGTAAGCACGAGGCTCAACTCGAGCTCCATATCTTGGATGCCGTTGAAGCCCTTCAATCTGTAGCAAACAAAGAATCCTTAAAATTGATATTTGATCAATAATCCTTGTACTACTAATACTTAAAATGGGCAGAGAGAGGTTTACCTGAAATCTTTTCTTGACAACATCAAGTGGATGACAAACAAGTTTGGCACATGTTCCAGCTGCCAAACCACAAAGGAAAAGCTGAAAGCTAGAGAGGCTATCTTCTGCAGTGGTGTTGGAATATATACGATGGTTCCAAGCCTACAATTTTCACACACAAGGCATAATAAATAAACAGGTCTCAAAGAATTAAACACTTTAAAGTGAAAATGAAACCAAACATTCATCCGCTGTCCAACTCCATCTTTTATGTAAGGTTACAATTTACAAGTGGAAACAAATTTGTAGTTATGCATTTTTAGTCATTCTAATTGTTCTAGCATCATCTTCTACCAAGATTGTAAAATGATGGCATAATACAAAGCAAAACAGGCTAAAATAACCAGTCATGCAGAATCCAAGACAATCTACAATCTCACCTTACTGCAAATGAACAAAGTACAACATCCAATGCATGCAGGGCATAATTATATCAACTAATAAAAATGAGACGTTAAATAGAAGGACTGGAATTTACCATGGCCCAACGCTTAAATGTATCATAGGTGCCAAATTGTAGGCCTGCATAAGGTATAATCTCAATCAGAGTTGGCGACAATCCAGCATACAAGCCTCGAAAGCCACGAGTCTGGACGATATCAATGAATGCAGACCTCATGTTTGGATATACCTATATGATGGCAAAATATTTGCAAAGCTTGTTACAAAAAAAATAGCTTCAAAAGGATCAAAACAACATCACAGAGCAGTGTTTACAAACAACGCAAATCAGAAGAGCATAAATGGCATATGCACAAGGGAGAGTTCATGAATTCACTAAGAAAGCCCCCATATCCTGCCAATTAAAGGACCTCCACAAATGCTTATACTCAGCCGTAGCAATCCTTAAAGAGGCAACATAGTTTTTCCAGAACCAAAACACCAATGTTTAACAAGCCTGGTGCAAGCCCTGGAGTAACTATTATTTTGGGGGTATGCTCATTCAATCCATTCCTCATCCAAGCCAAAGTCAATTTGTTAGGATCCCATTGGCAAGGTATGGGACTCGGAGTTCCACATTGGTTGTATGGGCAACTAATGTGGGATTTATAAGGCCTTGGGCACTCTCACCCTTTGAGCTAGCTATTGGGGTGGTGCACCTCAAGGTTCTTATCAAATGGTATCAGAGCCTTCCACTATGCCTCCCGGTTGCAATCGAGCGGCGCAGGCGGTGACGTTGGCATTGCAGTGTTCGCCCGGGGCTAGTAAATAACTAGCGCAAAGCCAGCCCGCGTGGGCGCCGGGACTGCGGAGCGTGGTGGAATGTTAGGATCCCATTTGCAAGGTATGGGACTCGGAGTCCCACATTACTTGTATGGGCAATTAATGTGGGGTTTATAAGGCCTTGGGCACTCCCACCCTTTGAGCTAGCTTTTGGGGTGATGCACCTCAAGGTTCTTATCACAATCTTAATAGCTCAAGTACAAGGTATTCACTATAATCCTCCCAGAGTGCTTTATCAAAAACTCAACAATGAGTAGTTTGCTGCTACCGCTGACTCTGTTAACAAGTGGTGGATTTATGTTATAGTTTCTGAGGAAAATGCCCCCCACTCATCTCCAGGAATTTTTATTAGAAATATATGTAATTTATTACATTGCCATCTTCATTTATTATGAGTTTCCCGCACCCTTGCTCATTGCTTAATAAGTTGTGTGAAAAGCAAATATTTAAGAAGGAAAATCATTAGACTTCACACATTAACCAAGAGGACAAATTATATATTGTATTATTTTGAAGTCCAATCCCTTGCATAATTTCAAATTTGACTTCTCTAAAGTGTAGGGCACGCTTCAAATGTTGGTTCCCTTCCAGGCATTTGAAAAAAAGTACAATTTAAGGGTTTATGATGTGTGTCCAATTCACCATGTATTAAGGGTCAAATTTAGCACTTAATTGATCTAAATTCAACCAAAACACATGAAAGATGTGATTTAATTATTAATTCATTTTCAGGAATACTTTCATGAAACTATTGTGTTTTGTAGGAAATTTTCTCATTAAAGAATACCAATTGGAAAGCCAAAGTCCTGGAAAAGAAAGCTCATGGCACCAAAGGTGCCAATCTCTCTAACAATTTGGCGTCAAAGGCGCCAAGAGTCTAACGCTTCTGTAAAGACGAATACGGTGGCGTTAGAAGCTCCAATCCGCGTGCTGTGATTGAAGTCAATTTAGTGTCACCAAAGGCGCCGTTTTCTCTCACAAGATGGCATTTTAAAATGCCACTTTCTCGCTTTTGCAAAAGTTATGCTGAAGATTTGAATTTCAAATAAAACAAAAAGGAATCTTTTTTTTTATGGCAATTTTGGATTTAATTGGAATTTTGGATCATTTCTGATAAGGGGATTTGAAAAGATACTGCTGCTTCATATAAAAGGACACATTCGAGATTGGAAGCAGGAGAGAAGAAAGGTTCAACACAGTAGAAAGACGAGAACACCGGATACCAGAGCTGGAGATTGAGAATTTCATAGAGAAGGAAGCTTGAAGGAGATCGAACATCATTGAATTATTCTTTTCTTCTTCTTCATGACTTCATCTGTTTTCTTTCATTCTTTATTTTGTTTAAGTCAGCTATGTCTGGCTAAGTTTCTTTTCTAGTTAGGGATATGGATCCGACGTGAATCCTATTTGTGGTTTAAATTTGTTTCAGTTATTTGTGTTTTACCTTCATGAATTTTTATATCCTTGTATGAATTGATCACTCTTATAGGGATTTGAGGGTTAAGGTTCACAATAGACATATTGAGATTCTAATCCTGACAGAGGTAAAATATCAATTCTTGCATGATCTAGACATAGGCTTGCTTAAGTTGCAGACTTCATAATTCATCGTGTTTAATGCTTATTCTGAGAGGAATCACTGAGACATTAGGATTCTAATTGGGGTAAAGGGTTAAAGTCATTAAGACATTAGGATTCAACCAATTATTTTTAGAAAATGAATTGTCTGAAATGTCTAAGATGAATTACTATTGAAATTAATTTAAACTACACTAGGAGGATCTAAGGTGAAATAATTCCTAACTACAGTTTTAGTCATTAAGTTTTAATTCGTTTTTACTAGTCTTTGTTCTTATTCTGAAATTATTATTAATTACAATTGTTTTTGTTTTTATTTTAATTCAAAAATTATTCTCTACATCAAATTGATTTGTCCAAATCAGAGGGAATAGTGAGAATAATACTTGGTGTCATTAATCCTCGTGGGAACGATATCTTATTAACTACTTTATTACTTATACGACCGGTATACTTGCCGTGATCGCAACAGTTTAGTAAAGCTTTTAAGCCAACACAACTAGTAAATGATCTGACAAACTATATTGGCAATACCACTAATTAGACAAGAAGGAACCATAGGGTAGCACCCCCATCCCTTGCACCTGGCTAAAGGAAGGAACAAAAAGAATGATGTCAACGTAAACCTTTCAAGCACAAACAAAGATTGAGATGTAGGTGCATCATGGTGTTGGCAAGGAAAAAGCAAAAGTCTGAACTGGAGGGCGTTTAAAGCAGACCAGTAATTCGTTTAACTGGCCTTCAAAACACTAAAAAACATTACACAAATTTACTTTGAAACTGTGTTATAACCTTGAATATAATAATGCTTATACCTTTGGCTCGCCCTGAGAAGCTAATATGGTTCGGACAAGATCGAAGGGATATGAACCTACAGTAGCTGCACACCCAGCTAATGCCCCACTGACATAGGATAGGTAAGGGCTCAAATTAATGTGATTCTCTGCAGAAACAGAAAGCAACCAATGAACAACACAAACCTAGAATTGGAAAGAAATAGGAAATTTCCTGGTAAATAATTATATTTCTGAAGTGTGCTATGTGCTTGGGCATAGGCTTTGGCTAGCATATATAGTGTATAAATCCATTAACTACAGACAGACTACATCATCATCCTCAAAAAAGCTTTATGCAAAATAAATTGGCACAATTATAGCTAGCAAGACATTGGAATGAATTGGAAGAGCTTAAGTACCTAACTTCTAAAAGTTATAACTTCAAACTAATAATAATGTTATAAATCATAAAACACCACTTTAGTCTCGAAACAGTACTTTGCTGATGAAGCTAACATGTCGGGACACTGAATAACAAAACAGAATACCTGTCTTGGAAGAACCAGTGGCAAGAGTCTTGAACTTGTGTAAAACTGTAAATTGTATGGCTGTATAAGGCATAACCATGAGCAAAGCAGGTACATTTCCTCGCCAAAAGCCCTGTAAAAATGTGATAGAAAAAAGGGGCTCATAAATTATAAAAAAAAACACCATGGTAAACTTAAAAGGGTAGAATATCTGGGGGTTATTTTACTACTTGTATTCCTTCTTCTCTAAGAATATCTTTGCTGGCTTGAAGCATGCCAGTATATTTTGATGGTGCAGCTACAACCAAATCCTTGCGTAGTAAAGCCCATGAAGATGTGGGCTCCAGTTGAACCTGTGAATTGTGAATGTTAATAACATATGCACGCAGCAATGAACAAGAATGCAAAAAAAACATCAAAAAAAAAAAAAACACAGACCTGGAATCTAATCTTAATAACATCAAGGGGCGAGGTAACTATCCGTGAAATTCCACCTGAAATTGCCCCAGCCGAGGAATCAATCATGGCACGCTTCAATTGATTCGGTTCCTCCATTGCCACAAACACCCTCTTCCCTTTCAGACTATAACCTGCATCTACCACGTAATATATCAGAAAAAAAAAAAAAGATAGTCTATGCCCTTCGTATTAGGTCTCCCATTCGATTTCCCATAACTATGAAGAATTTATGCAAAAGGGCAAAATCTAATTGATATAAAGACGCCAACTTTAGGATCCATGGCAACGCACCTGTAAGGGATGAGGAAGAAGGAGGCAATGGAGAAAGAAAGACAACGTTAGAGTTTAGAGAGAGAATACAACGGACCAAAGAAATGGGCTTTACAATTTATCACCGCCTTATTTGATTCGATTTATTTTTTCAAATCAAAGTTTGTTTTTTTTATCTCAAAATTTAACAGAGTGATTCTCGGGGTCCAATTTTTGTCTCTTTTTTTGTGGCTATGTAGTGTACTACTAGTTACTTTACTTGAGAGATTCTATCTTGATATCTTCCCAAATTTGTAATATGTATTTAGATTTTCATAAATGATTTGTCTTGTTTATTTTAGTAACTCAAAGTTTATTTTTATTGCAGTTATGAATGACAAAAAACAATTATGTGTTATTTGTTTTATTTAATTATGACAACACAATCTTAAATTTATAATATTTCTATATAAATCATTTAACTCTTCATTATTAACTTACTTTTAGTGGCTCGTTACTGTTTGATCATTTAATTATAAAAATCTGTACAAAATTTTGCATAACTAACGACTCTCAAAAGAAGTAAATTATTTCGAATCTGCTTTATTTGTTATTTATTACCTGGGTTTTATAAGAGAGTTATGTTGTAAGAAAAGTGATTGTGTAATGTTATAGATATTCGTTTTGCGTGCCTTAATTTTTTATTTATTTTTTTGTTTTAAAAAGTGTGAGCCCCACAAAATGTTGTGAGTGTAGGAAAGTTTGTTGTGTTATGTTAAAGGATAAAATGAAAACCCTTATTACCTAATTTAGGAGAATATTCTCAGTGTTAAAGTAAAATCACAATCACACCCGCTTACCTAACTGTATTAATGAAAAAGTTAAAAGAAAAAGATGTAAATACAATTTGTTGAGTAGTATATTTAAATTTACTACAAGAAGAGTGCAAATATTCTCCAAATTCAGTGGCCTATCTCTTATCTTTTGATCTTTTTCTTATTTATAAGTATATTTTTAGAGTAAAATTATATTTACAAATTTTTTGTTTATAAATTATATTATATATTTCCAAAAATACACTAGTTACATTATCTACTTCACGTAATTTACAAAAATTTATTAAAACTTTTTTTTTAAACGAATCATCCCCCTTATACTATATGCAAATTGCAAGGCATTATGCTCCTCAATAATGCTCCTCCACCTTTAGTTGGTGCAAAGCAAGCAGTGGGTTGATCACGTTTCATTGCGTTCTTATTTGTATTGTCTCTTGATGCGAGTGTGCTTACTTTTTGTATGTGATCGAGTTGAATTGGAACTTGAAAGGTCATCATAAGTGGTGTGATGGGATTTCATTCTATTCAAGAGTTTTCCCTACACTTCTTTTAAGCATATAGAAAATAAAAAGTTTTAAAAATTAAGAATGATAGATATAGATATTTTAGTTCTTATTTTTTATAGGAAAAATGTTTGTTTTTTTTAAAATGTTCATTTTAGTTAAAATTAGTGTTTTTTATTTAAAAATTAAATTAGAAAAAATACCTCACTATCTTCCTCATATTTTCATTATATATCTCTTTATTTCACTTAAAATAACATGTTTTTTTATCTTTTAAAAGGACAAACACCAATTTCATTTTTTATTCCATAATTTTTTTAAATATCTTATAGGTTTTTGCGGACTGATATTTTATTTTGAAGCAATAGGATGTTTTGCTTCTCAAAGTTAAACAGCGAAAACGTAAAAAAAAAAAAAAGTAAATTGACTATGCAGCTCTTCCGCCCCAAGATTGTTTCGTTTACGGGTGTTAACGGACTGAGTCGAGCTGAGCCGAACTTTGGTCTTAAAAGGCTAAGCCTGTGATTAAATGTGTCGGCCTTACCAAGTCTGTTATCTGTTACGAATATAATTATCGGTATGTTGGCCTGCCTTATTTACAAAAAAAAAGCCTGATTTGACTTGTTAGCTTGTTAGAAAAAAATAAGACAATAAAAATTTATCCAAACAGAATATACAATCAACAACACTAGTAATTCCATAAATATTCATAAATTCAATGTATATCGAAACAACATAATATAGAAAAAAATCATTTAAAAAGTCTGTTTAACTAATAAAATAGGGGTGAAATAAATTGAGAGGAGAGAGAGGGCTATTACAAATAATATAAATAATATAAATATAAATATAAATAAAAATTAATATACTAGGTCAGTCTGAGAGGCTCCAAGGCCAAGCTTTTGAATTGGAGCCTGAGAACTTTTTACTAAACAAGCTTTTATACAAGTTCAAGCCTGATTCCAACAACCAATATTAGGCATGTAAGCTTAAGCCTTCACGAGCCGAATTAAAGGCCTCTGATTCGTTTATCACCCCTACACTTGACCCACTTTCAGTGGACAAGATTTCTCAAGTGATGCAAAACTTTGAAAAGGTCTTTTTGGAATCTAAAAAGTTATGGCTATCTATCGTCGTGCGTATTCTTATTAAAAGAAATCAGCTGGTCATTATAAGGATGGGTTTGAAAACCAAATATTTAACTCTCATATTTTAATCTAATGTTTATATTTAATTCGTGAACACAAAATGATAAGATGACTTCTATTCATTATTTTGTGTAAATAAACTTTGGAAGAATCCTGTTAGGCTTAACATTTTTTATAATCATTAATTATATTTTATCACTAGTGCTTTCAAAATAGCTATTAGTTCATACTAATTTTATATTTTTATTAATTTACATATTAATCAAAATAAACTCTGTCAAGTAATGGGAAAAAATATCAACAAATTTTTTTTTTATTACATAGAATTTTATTTAAATAGTACACCATATTAGAGTTTACTATAAAGGCTTTACTAAATGAAGTTTCAAGAATCCCCACTAAAAAAGTAAGGGGAAGAAGAAAGAGGAAAAGAAAAGAAAATATTATGTGTTAAACCTCCTATCATAAATTAAATAATTGTTCCAATCAAGTGACTTCAGAAGTTTTAATTATTAATTTTAAATTATAATTTTAAAAAATTAAATATAGATTCAACGATGACTTTATTTTTATAAAAAAAAAAAGTATTTTTAATTAAGGTTATAGAAGAATATAATTTTGTCTATGTTTGCATATATTAAAAGTATTTCATGATATCTTAATTGTATCTTTAAATAATTTAGAACATCTTATATGATTTATTAAAAATAATTTTTTTTATTTTTTATTTTTTAATTCAATTTTTTTGTTTATTTTGAATTTAAAATCTAATATTATTATAAATAGAAAATTATTACTTAGTAATTTGCATCACATCTAATATTATTATAAATAGAAAATTAATACTTAGTAATTTGTATCACATCGCATCATAACACATTAAATTAATATTATCTTCATTTTTTCCCTCCACCAAATTCTTATAATTTCAAATTTTCAATACTATGTAAAAGTAGAGACTTGAGAGCAGTCAATTTTTTTACTTTTATTTTTTTTGGTGGGGAGAGCAGTCAAATTAAATGTAGCAAAGAATAACAGAATCATTTACCCTTTTCTCTTGTATCTATGTTCCCCCTAAACTTGGACATAGATTTGTGTTGCGGGATTTTGTATTGGAGACTTCAATTATGTTCTGACTAGCAATTATAAATAAATTCACAGCCCAAAAAAAATAAATCCTAGCAATGATAAATTCAACAACAAGGTGGACCTCAAAACGTTGAAGATACAATTTTTTATTTTATTTTTTTGATATAGTTGGACAGGAAGATGATGTTGTTGTATCGAAAGGAACGATTAAGATAGAGCAATTTGTAACGCTGCCTTGTTACATGCAGAACCTACAATTTTGATTGTGAAATACATTCAGCATTTTCCTCAGCTTCAGAACGCAAAGCTAAATTTCAATGTTTTTGGGCTCCTTGATCTTTCAGCCACTCGCGTTTGTTGGAAACCTTCAACACGCCTCTTTGGACGCTATGATTCTGCAGTCCAAAATAAAGTATACCTCTTTGGCGATGCAATTATAAGCCTCACTTTCCGATCTTTAAAATCCCATCCTTAGAATCACATATTTTGCAATTGTCAACCATGGTTTTTGGTGTTCCTACAAAGCCAGGGATTCGGCCAAAATCATTTATGAGGAATCCTGTGGCAGGATACACCATCAGGCAAATCGCGTTAGTGAAATTTACTTTGGACAAAAAAATAATTGCGGAAATGAATCTTTTCACGTTACTTTCACATGAAAAACTCTGTTTATTTTATGTTTTAGTAAACATTAAATAGGCACCGTATTCAAATATTACATGAGAGAAATACAGATATGAAAAGGCATGTATAATTGAACACGCATATTTTTTAGAAAAAATACGACACATTCTGACATGCAGTCAATATTTTTCAACACATGCTCAATGTTTCAATATGTTTTCCGACACGTTCTGATACGTGATCAACGTTTTTCGACATACGGTCAATGTTTTTCGACATATTTTTTTTTAATTTAAATTTTATTTTATTTTATCTATTTAACTAAACATGAAAAATTAATTTATAAATGAAATATTTTCTATTATGAAATTTGACAAAAAAAATTAACAAGGTATGAAAAATTATTTTTACTTTATATTTATGTTATGAAATTTGAATATTTGATTGGTTATATGACTTATTATGAATTGTTATACGTATTAAATGTAAATTATATTATATATATATATACTTAAAATATTATTTAATATCAAAAATTGTTTCAACGTGTCAAAATTCATCATTTTTTAAAATTAATAATTCGGCATGTCATGTCATGTCTCATATCGACATCGGTGCAACATAGATAAAAACTCAATAAATCACTTACTAGAGTGGGTAAAAAAAAATTAGTTAAGTATATTTATTTTATCCATCCCTTTATATTTATGGTTAACGCTAATCTAAGTTCTATTTTTTTTTCTTAAAAAAAATGCATACTTCCGTAATTAGGGATGGCAAAGCGGGCTACCCGCCTCGCACCGCCCGTGCCCGCCAAAAAGCGGGCTGACCCGCCCCGCCTCGCCTGTGAAAGTGGGCAAGAAAACTCAGCCCGCCCCGCCCCGTTTGGGTGGGCAAGGCAGGCTGCCCGCTAAGCCTGTCAAATTTTACACTAAAAAAAGAAAAAAAAATTAAAAAATCCAGCCCGAGTGGGCTGGCGGGCGGCGGGTTTGGAAAACTCAGCCCGCCCCGCCCCGTTTGGCGGGTTGAGCCCGTTTTGCCATCCCTATCCGTAATATTAAAAATATTATTGGTTACCTTTAAATATTGTTGATATTGTCCAAAGTGTTTTACCTCTTAATGCCTATTATGGTCCTGATAGAAAGATTTGGGAGATTCATAAATCCCAATCTGTTTCGGTGAGTGTCTTATATGATTACATGTCTAATTATGAAGTCATTGATGATGCTGTTGAAAAAAACTTGGAATAGGCTTTGGACTTGGAAGGGTCCTCAAAGAATAAAAATTTTCATTTGGAAGATTCTCCATCAAAAACTATTAACGAATAGTTATATGTCTAGTTGGAATGGTAGTGATGGTATGTGTTCTTGTTGAATTGGGGAACCTGAAACTATCATTCATGCTTTGAGGGATTGTCACAGGGCTAAAGTAATTTGGGATTGTCTTATCCCTATTAATTATAGCGTTGTTTTCTTTAATTCTTCGTTTGAACAGTGGATTACTATTAATTTTAGCAGTAATTTCATGGAAAGTAGTCAAGATAATTGGCTGTCCAGTTTTTTGGTTACTTGTTGGAAGATTTGGAGCTGGAGGAATATGATGAATCATGGAGAAAAGGTGCCCATGGTTGGGAGTAAAGTAGAAATAATTAAAAAAATTATTTCAAAAATGGATAGTGTTGTTACAAATCAAAAGTCTTCTAATCGAGGCCCTCTTATTAGCAGCGTCCTTGTGTCTTGGACCTTTCCTGAAGATGGGTTTGTGAAGGTAAATACGGATGGAGCTTCCCGTGGTAATCCTGGTGTGGCAACTTATGGGAGTGTAATTAGGAACTTCCAAGATATTTGGTTGGATGGATTTGCGTATAAGTTGGGTTTCTGCTCTTCTTTTAAAGCTGAATTATGGGATATTCTGAGGGGTTTGGAAAGGGCTTGGAGCAAGGGTTACAGGAAAATTATCTTAGAAAGTAATTCGCTATTGATAATTACTGTGCTCACCAATTGTGGTGTAGCAGTCCGTGAGGTGCAATTGATTTCTCGTATACGGACGTGGCTTGAAAAGGAGTTTCTTATAAAAATACATACATTTCCGACATGGTAACCCGTTAAATTGCACGTCCGTAGCGAATGTGTGATGCGAAATGATTTTATCAAACGAGTTTCGCTCAATGCCATTTCCACCACTGTTGCTACCATCATCGCCACCACTGTCACAACTATCATCGCCATGGTCATAGTTACTGCCGTCACCACCATGCCATTACTATCACCATCACCATTGCCGTCACCACCGCCATCACCATAGCAACTATCGTCACCCCCACCATTACCATCACGCCATCACCACCACTATCACCACGCCGCCAGACCATAAGGAAAGAAAAGTGATAATCCGAAAAAAATTATGCTTAATAAAAATTATATTTTATTATATTATTTGTTATGTTAGTATATACAATTTTTATTCTCAAAATAAAAATAAAATATACTATTAAACATATTTTTTTTTTTCAAAAATTTTTCTGTCAGAGAACAAAATAATTGTCTTGCAGATCCTTTAAGGTCGACAATAAGTCACGCTCAACTCTTCTGCGATGGATTAGATGATTTAACGGGTTACCATGTCGGAAATGTATGTATTTTTAAGATTTAGGTTTAAGCCTTTAAGATAACTAATGAAAATTATAATAATAATTTATTAATTAATTTAAATATAATATATATTTTCAATTAATTTTAAAACTGTTATTAAAATGAAAAATTAAAATTTAACAAAGAAATAAACAATAAATAAATTATAAAACAATAAAAAGATAAAAATGTTCTTCAACCATGGAATCACATATTAGATAAAAATAATATAAATATCTTATAATAAAGACTCTATTTTTGTCATATAAAAATAGACAAATAATAATAGAACCAGAAGGAATCGTCTGCTGCTTCTAGTGCTGTCTAGATGTAACCGTTAGATCTTTTTTGCATTGAAATCCAATTGCCAAATGAAATTATTAGATATACAAATTTCCCTTCTCTAATTTTTTTTTCCTTTCTGTCAGTTTGATTTTTTTTTTCCGGTAAGCGATTTCTTTTATTTTAAAAGAAAATAATGAGTACATGGGATTATTATTTTTTTTTTTATAAATTGTGTAATATCCGATTGCAAAACGAACGCCGACTAATCTGACGGTTTATTACCAACAAATATGCAATTAGTGGTGATCCAAACCTATTCAAACCCGGTGACTCAACTAAAAAAATCGATAATCGAATAAATTAAAAATTAAAAACTGATAAAAAAGTAAATTTTAATTGGATTCGATCCGATCCAATCCAAACCGATTCAATATATTAATTCTTTTCTACCTAATTGAGTCTTTCTCCAATCATACTTAAAAAAATTCTAAACCCAAGACTTATTAACCCATTAACTAAACTCAAGAAAAAATCTAGCTACATCCCATTAGCAAAATTTTATCTGTGTAGAGCTTCATATCTCATTGTCAAAAAAAAAAACCTATATTATCATTTACTGATATTTTTGTATTAAAATAAAAAAAACTTTACAAAGTCAATATATACAAAAAATATGTTATTTGTATAATAATCATGAAACAAATTTTAGGCTTTTCAAAAAATTAAAAACCAATCTAATCCAAACCGAAAAAAATTGAATAGAATCGAATTTAAAAAAAATTCAAACCAAATAAATAATTACATAATAAAACAAAAAAATTCAAAAAATTGGATCGAATGATTTTTACTTTAAGAGTGAATCCATTATAGACCGTAAACACTCCTATATGCAATTTTCAATTGAATCACCCTGGCCTTCTGATGGTAGAGTACCACCTCAGTCTTTATTCCTTGAGTATATTTTATTTAAAACAAATGTATTATTTTTTAATCATATGTTTTATTTGTTTTAAAAATATCAAATATAAAATAAAATTTATATACATAATTTATCTCAAATTTATAAAAAAATAACTACAACTTCGTGGAAACATGCTACTTTCGTTTGTAATTTAAAAAAACAGAAAAAAAGGGCAAAAAAGATAAGTCAAAATTTCAATTTTCTTTTATTCGCGTAAATAGCATATTAAGCGGCGTGCAGCGTGCCAGCGGACCGATTCCCCTTTGCACATACAATGCGGCGCCCATACGCAAACGCAAGACACATAACTTGGTCAAGCGCAACGGATTTTTCAGAATCAACTATATCACTTCACGCTACTGTTTCCTCTTTAGTATTATACTAATATCTGCAAACAAAAAATAAAAAAAGTACTAATATTAATTTACGTATAATATCAGTATAATTTGTTATGTTATTAACAATATATCATCATATTATTTAATAAATTTACCAATATAAAATTATTTAACTCGTTGATTAGCAGGGTAAATAGGTAAGTAAATCAATATTAATTTGTTTAGTGCCCCGCCTTTAAGAAACATGATAATGACGAAGTAACAAACAGTAGCGCGTCAATATCAAAGGTTGGAAGGTTCCTTTGTACTCGCTTTCCAATTGGGCCTTTAATTCATTCCGCGTGCGGTTGCGGTTATATATAAATTCAACGCTATTGATGGTCAACTTGCATTGTTTCTTCTTACTTCAAGATAATTTGTTCGAAACCCTAACATTACCAATTCCATAAACACAGTCCATAGCATCATGGAATACAGAACCTTGGAACTCAACCTCACATCAGCGAAAGATCTCAAAGATGTTAATCTCTTCTCCAAGATGGACGTCTACGCCGTCGTTTCACTCTCCGGCGATCAACTCCACCATCAAAAGACCAAGACCCCCGTCGACCGAGACGGCGGCGCCAACCCTACCTGGAATTTCCCCATCAAATTCACCGTCAACGAATCGCTCGCTCGCCAGAATCGGTTGACCCTCGAAATCAATCTCCGGTGCCAGCGCACTCTCGGCGCCGACAAGGACATCGGCCAGGTTCACATCCCCGTCAAGGAGCTGCTCGACCAAACCGGCGACGGAAAATCCTTCCAGCACGTCAGTTACCAGGTCAGAAGACCATCCGGTAAGCCTAAGGGGGCCTTGAATCTCTCATACAAAATCGGAGAAAAAGTCGCAGCTCCGGTGAAGGCGCCGCCGGTCTCGGCGGTGCCCAAGGCGGAGCCGGTCACGGCTTATCCTCCTCCGGCGATGGGATCCACATCGGCGACATATGCTGCGCCGTACCCAGGCGGATATCCTCCCCCGCCGCAACAATATGCTGCCGGATATGGGTACCCGCCGCCGCCACAGTATCCACAGGCTCAACAGGGTTATGGGTACCCGGCACAACCCGGGTACGGGTATCCTCCTCAAGCCGGGTACGGTTATCCTCAACAAGGCGGGTACGGGTACCCTCCTCAGGGTCAGAGACCGGGAAAGAACAAATTTGGAATGGGATTGGGAGCGGGTTTGCTTGGTGGAGCGGTGGGTGGGCTTCTGATTGGGGACATGATATCTGATGGAGGTGGCTATGATGCTGGCTATGATGCCGGTTTCGATGATGCTGGTGGTGGATTTGATTTTTAATTTTCTTTTTTCTTTTTTCTTTGGGGTAGTTTGGTCTTGTAAACCTATAGTATATAGAATATGCTGTTGCAGTTTACGCCGTTACTTTTCTGGTTTATGATAATCGGGGGGTACAAGACTAGAAGTTTGTTTTTTTGTGTTTGTTCTATTTAAGACTATGTAATTAACTGGTATTATATGCTTTACAACTCTCTACTTCTACTTTATTTCTTTTGGAATTACAGCATCTGATCTCTATAGCCAGAGGAACAAGGATGTGATATCATGTTTTGATAAGACATGGATAATTTTTTCACTTGAACAACGCTAGCCTGATATATTCTTCTTCTTTTTTTGATAAGCTGCGTGATATTTTTGTTAGTGAACGCAATTATGCCCAATACATTTTGGATGGAAGATGGACCTAACTTTGATTATAATTTGGCACTGTTAGATGTTTTGAGTGAGTCCTCGATGACGATACGAACATCTATTTTCAGTTAAAATAGTCAAATTTATTTGGTTAAATGTAGAGTGCAAGCATTAATCTGGTTGCGCTAGTAGCAACACTATAATAATTTTAAAGGATTTAAAGTTCTCTCATTTAAAGAGAGAGAAAGAAATAAATAAAGGAGAAGAGAGAATTGACAAAAAAAAATAAAGGTGTGGATCCAAGAGTGAAAAGATATAAGTTGTGTCATTTAAAGCATACAACCACACTCTTTGGACAGAATTTAAGTGGTTAAAAATAGTCATTTTAACTTTTTTTAAATAAAAAAAATTATCTTGTTTATTTTATCTTGAAATTTAGCTTTTTTGGGTTCAAAACTTTTACCAAATTTATTCAGACGATATTTGATGTTTAAATTCCGCCAAATTAAGGTAGAATAGAAAGAAAGCTAATGCTAGTGCAAATTATGGAACAATAGTTTTTATTATTGCACTGAGACTCCTATGGCGTAGATTATTTTTATACTAATATAAGAATAAAATGTATTACACCTAAACTTAATCATTGATCTGCTTATATCCTTAGAACATAAATAAAATTCATAGTCAAGATTAAAAGTATAATTTACGCCCATGTAAAATAATTTGATCCTATTTTAATAATGTGTCCAAATTAAATTTATTTTTTTTGGATGGCAACTAGCATAGTTTATCTTTCATGTAAACGACGGGTGGTTGGTGAACGAAAGTCAATGGATAATGAATTGGTGATTAATCACAAATATGAATTGTTCGGATGCTCAAATTAATTACCTAAACTTAATACTTCATGACAAGATATTAGAAGGATAAGTTGCATGATTGCTTCCAAGATAGACTTGGTCGTCCAGTGGCAATACTAACTACTAAGGGACAGATCACATTTCTGAAGTTTTAGTTTCAACATTGTGGGAGTTTAATTTTTCTAATAAATAATATTATGGTTTAAATTTATGATTCCACACAAATAACTAGAATATTCATATGCGATCTTTTGCCATTACCCATTACAAATCACACTACGCCGGAGGTTAATCAGAAAATAATATCCATCATCCATGACGAATGTAGTATTTTTGAGAATATGTTTTTAACACCAAGCTGAAGTCATGGTTTATTATTTTTAAAATTTTCAATTGTACCATTTTTTTCAATTGTTGAAGTCATGGTTTATTTTATTTTCAATGTCAGTGCATTGTTTTTTTGTAAGGAGCAGCTAAAATAACTAAAGTGATGCTGCCATAAAATAAATCTCCAATTAACATACTTCTTATCTCCTAGGATCAAGCTTGATTTGTTATGGCTAGATTATTTGTTTTGAACACGTGATCCTTAAACTTGATTTCGTGGGAAGACAACATGGAACAAATAAGAAAGAGGATGCTATTTATCCTGAACCCTATAAAGCCCAATAAGCCCAATAAGCCCGAAGTCATTTACACGATGGCGGGTGTGTGTGTGTGTGTTTTCCCCCCCTTCTTTAATCTTAATCAGGACCATTCTTTTTTTGTTTTTCCTTCCAAAACCAAAGCCAAAGCCAATAAAATAACAAGAAAACGAAAAACCCTAATTGCAGTTGCAAACTCATCTCTCTCTGTCTGTGTCTGATAAACCCTAAAAAGAGGAAGAGGCGGAAGAAAAAAAAGATGAGACCTTTGGACGAGAAGGAGACGAGTGCAGTGTTCGAGAAGCTGTTCAAATTCGTGGGCAACAACCTGAAGAACATCGTTGAAAACCCCTCTCACGAAGGCCCCGATTCGAACCCTGGTCGCTACTGTTTCCGTCTCCACAAGAACAAGATCTTCTACACGAGCGACTCGTTGGTGAAGCGAGCCACTAACATCGCTCGCACCAACCTCGTTTCCCTCGGCACGTGCATCGGCAAATACACACACGGTGGCAGTTTCCACCTCACCGTTCAAGCCCTCAACTTGCTAGCCGCCAATGCCAAGCACAAGGTGTGGCTCAAACCACAGTCCGAGATGTCCTTCTTGTACGGCAACCACGTCTTGAAGAGTGCCTTGGGTAGGATCACCGACAACATCGCTTCCGGTGATGGGGTTGTCGTGTTTTCCATGTCCGATGTTCCTCTGGGTTTTGGTATCGCCGCCAAGTCCACTCAGGATTGTAGGAAGTTGGATCCCAACGCTATCGTCGTGCTGCACCAGGGTGATATTGGGGAGTACTTGAGGATGGAGGATGAGCTTTGAGTTTCTTATTTTGTTTCACTTCCCCCCTAATCCTGGGGTTTTGGTAATTGGGTAATTGTTGTATGGTGTTATGCTCATCATTATGTAACCTGGGTGACTCTCAGATTGATTATTGCTTCCGATTCATCTTGGAACATTATGAACTTGGTTATATTGCATTCCCCCTCTCAATTACATTATATTTATTTTCCTACGAGGTTTTTGTGCTTTTTGTATAATTTATTTATATCTACTCTTTTTGTCTATGAGATTGCTTTGAATTGTCAGAATTTTCTGCGGTTCCTGCTTATTATTTTATGACTGAGGATCGGTGTAATTTTCTGAGTTGAGGAATAATTATTTGAAAGGAAAATAATTAGTGGAAGACTCTGTTTAATCTTTTTTTGGTTGAATAGACTTGACAGTTACAGTTCTGACTACTGGCTTCTTGCCTAGTTACAAATATCTCAATCTTCCAGCAGAAACGATCACCTGAATCTTCTTGATATGAACAATCTAATATATGGTGCTTATTGTTTGATACTGCTTAATTTGGATTTTGAAGATTTTGGTCTATAGTTTATAACTTTCTGAACCAAAATCTGTTTCCCCCCTGCTTCTTATCTGTAATCATATGTTTGTCATGCCCTCGCTCGTTCATTTTTTCACTTTTGGGATGTCCACGAATTCTTGTATGGAATTCTCTCTACTGACCCAATATTGTCTCATTTTTCTTTAGGCTTCGGTATTGCTGCTTTTTAATTCTTCAGATAGACTGATTTATTTAAATATAATGACTCAGTTAAACTTATAAGAATATGATGTTGTTAGACTGTCCCACTCCTTGATTGTTAACAAGGAACCAAACACAAACGATTTCATCCACTGATAATTTTGAATTTAATTCAAAATTTACTGACAAAATGAGGAGGATAAAGGTCTAATTTTATTAAAAAATAATGTTTTACTCTTTTTCTGTTTGTTTGGTCATCTAAATCTCTGTTCTATTTACTGACTTTTGATGGAATTGAGACACATTTTTCGTGTAGATTCATCTTCCTCCTGTGGATGAGAAGAAAAAAGTAATTACGGATGTTGACAGGAACAGAAGATATGCTATCGATGCTTCAATTATGCGTATTATGGAGTGTGTTGAGCTGTTGTGTTTCATGCTCAAGGTTCATGTCTGACCACTTTCCTAACATAATATTGCGTGTCTGTTTTTCACTCTTGAATCCTGAATATTTTATATGCAATGTTATTGCCCAGCCTGATGGCGGATTGATGATTTGATTTCTGGAGTGGAGACTACTTGGAAAGAGACAAAGATAATGCAAATTTGTTCAACTACTTGGCTTGATGTGGTCTTAACAATTGTGCTAATGAAGTAAACTGCAAATAGCAAAACAAGAGGATCGTGCTTTAACTTTTGCCAAAAGAAAAAAGTTCTTCCTAAAAATTTCTTTTGAGGGGGTGCTGCAAGTGGTTGTACATTTTTCCTCGATATCCAGGTATGGTTTACTACTGTAGATGTGTGCTCATGTTGGAACATTGTAATCAATTCCATAAGTAGGTCCAGTTCACTGGTACCTTCACCACCTTTTTTGCTTTTTGATTGCTGCAATTCCATCCCTTAATTGATCCCCCCCGCGGTTGTATTTTGATTCTCAGCTTAAAAATCATCAGGTGAATGAAATCTAAACCTTACAGGTTTGGTTCTTTAAGCTAATTGTCCATGATCATATTGCATAGCGACATCTACTTCATTTTGTAGTGTCTGTGATATCTGAAATCAGTTTGAGGATAGGATTATTGCAAGGTTCTAAGATTATATCTGTTTTACCGGTGAATGCTTTATATTATTGTGGGTATGGCCAGTGGCGGATCCAGAAAAATAACGAAGGGTGGGCACTCAATAAGGTCTGATCTTGAACGTGATTTACGAGCATGTGCCGGCTGGTTCGATCTGGTTTAGATTTAGATCTAGATTAGGTTTGGATAATGAAGGTAGATGAGAAAAAAAACTCACCTGAAAATAAATTAGAATGAGGGAAATTAAAGATGTAGGATATTGTAACAACCAACTAGGGTTACTACCAATCAATTTCACCGTTAGATCAATTAGTTGATCCAACGGTTATATTTATTTTCATCTTTATAAGGTTATGATCCCCATATTTAATGTAAAAGCATTAACTATAGAAAATCATAACCATACAAAGGTGAAAATAAATATAAAGTATTAAATATGGGAATCATAACCATACAAAGATGAAAATAAATATAACCGTTGGATCAGCATAATTGTTCTAACGGTAAAATTGAAATTTGATTGGTAGTAACATTTGTAGTAACCTAATTGATTGTTATAATATCCTACCTCAAAATTAAATTGGAAAAACTTGAATTTTAAGAAAAAAAATATTTTTATTTTTTACATCATATTTAAGGGTGGGCACTTGCCCCTCTTCTCCCGTAAGTGGATCCGCCTCTGGGTATGGCAGTATGGGTATGGATCTTCACATTGCATTCACATTACGGGATATCATGTGATTCATGAAATTATACTTCCAGATTGTATTTTTGTGTGCAAACCTGGACGTTGTAAATATTAGCCTCATTTTTGTTCCGTGGCAATGAAAAAAAGATTCTGAAAATTGAAAAGGATTTGGCTGAAGCTTATAAGCTTCAGTGATGTTCATGATCCGTTGAGACAGTTATGAATCTTGGCACTTCATAACATTACATTCCTGTAGTATCATGTGTTTATCTATGAACCAAGAGGAGAGATATTCTTACTACTAAATTTTTTCATTACCAACTTATTACTTATCTAATCACCATTGGATTAGTATTTTCTCTCTCTTCAAATTTTTTTTAGCATTCTTTCTCTTTGATCCAATGGTGATTAGATAGGTAGTAAGTTGGTAGTGAAAAACTTTGCTAGTGAGAATATCCTTCATCAGTGAATGAAAGCATTACTTGCCAGCTCTTACAAATTATTTTTCAGTTGTGTCAAGATAAACGTTAGTTATTGGGCTTCATTGATTGTGGGCCAATTTGATTGGACTGTATATGAATTGAAAGCTATTCAAGTTTTAATTTGATTATGCTCTGTTGAACTTGATTGCGGCCCTCCCTCTTTGAAAGAAAAAAAAAATTAATTTGTTGAATATAAGTACTTGATAATATAAAAGGTAAAACAAATATGTATGTATATAAACGCATAATAAATTTTAAATCATTATGTGTACGCATAGGTGTAAGTCTTGACACTTAACCGATTAATAACTTTTTTTTAAAATGTGAAATTAACCAATCAAATTATTGAATCATGTAATATTATTTTGAGATTGCTGCAAATATGTTTTAGATATGTTTAACCTTCATAGCAACGTAATCTAATAATCAATGATTACTTATATTTTGAAATGCATAATATACGTTAGAATAATGTGATAAATTATCAATTAGTTTTTTTTTTCTTTTTAATTATATGAACTCGTGAAACTCAATCGACTTCATGAAAGCTTTTAATCTAACAGCTGCATTAATAAAATTTAACATCGATATAAAAATTATTAAAGGATATAATTATACTATTACTAAGATTTAGACCTAGTGTAAGCAAGCGTACAAACTACTGAACTAAATATATGAAAGTTCAAGTTTCACTCATTTGTCAAATAAGCCAAAATTATAAAGTTTAAACTCACCTCATTAGGTTAAGTATTTGAGTTGTTGAATTGTTAACAAATCGAGTTGCAAAGAACTTGAAAGGTGGCTCGACTCATTTTTAGTCCTACTCTAGTCTATGATAAATACATCTGAACCTGTTACAAATTTATTTTTCTACTGTACTCTAGTTTATTTTTCTAAAAGTGCTTAATTTCTCATTCTATTATCTGTTAAAGAATTGCATATAACATTTTAAATATTTTTAATTTTAGTATATACTGTTAAAATTTTATTTAAATTAATTATACATATCTCTTCTACAATTTTAATTTTTTCTGAAATGTTTTTAAAATTTATCTTCCAGCCCTCGTTGGCACAAACTCTAGACCTTTTTTATTAAAAAAAAAAGGGACGTATAAACGATGTAGGGTGGTTCTCCAAAACTGGCATACGCAAAATGGAATAATTAGGAGCACAAGCATAATTACATTCACCACCCCGTATAAAGGCGAAGATATCAAATTAAGCGATCAAATCCTCATCTGCATATGAATTTTGATACTTTAATCAGAAATTTGTCCTTTTTTCTTTGTTAGTTAAAAAAGGAATATGACAACTCAAAATGGCCTACGGGAGAATTGATCCAACATTCTTTATGTTTAGTACTTTATTCTCTAAATCATTGTATATTTCCGTATAGTTAGTTCAAATGATAAATGTTTGATTCGGTTTAAGAAAGATATTGGGTTTAAATTCTTATAAATACAAAATAAAATAAAATTAGGAGAGCTATTCCTACCATAATGTATATGTTTTCAACCCGAGTAGGATTACCTTCCATAAAAAATACATATGATTTATCCAAAAAATAAATTGTATAATTCCTCATTCTATCATTTTTAATCAAAGTTAGGCGTAAACCTACAAATTGATATGCAAACAAATCATTCTACTTTAGCTTTAATCTTATTCCTTTACATCACAAAATTCCTCACCCTTCTTTTCTTCTCCCAGTTTTTGAAAAATTGTCGTTTATATCTGAATTATACGCATTCATTCATCTACACTATAACTTCTTAAGTCCAATCAGATTTTCTGTCGTTTTCTAAACTCGATCCTAGTAGAATGGAGAATAAATTCATATACCTAGCCGGGGACATCATCCTATAATACTCAAGATGCCCAAGCTTTGATTAAAATAGATGACACTTGAAAAATATAAAAACAATAGACTTTAGAGCGAAATTTATTGGAGAATAAAGTTTCTCACACGTCCACGTCAGCAAAGTGTGTACCTGGCTAACTACAGATAGTTGTGAATTAGTTTTTCTATTTCCTCTATATCAGTTTAGTTGCGCACTTCGTTAAGCTCAGTCGTCTGTTTAAAGAAATATTGTATCATCAGCTTGTAATCAATTTTTGAGTTGAATTCATTCTTAATACATGAGATATATATATATATATTTTTTTTTGGAGGTTACAATGAATTGAACACTACACCCTACACTACACATACTCTTAACACACACACCCCACACCACTAGGCTAACCCTAGTGGTTCTGATACATGAGATATTTCAATATGGTATCAGAGCTAATGTTATCCACATACTTTGCCGACGTGGACATGTGAGAAACTTTATTTTTCAATAAAATCCCCCTTTTTACTGTTAAGTACCAAACATAATGGTTAAAGCTATGATTGTTGAAGTAGGTAAAATAAAAATAAAAAATAAAAAAGTGAAATAAAAACTATTTGAAACAACAAAAATATTGTATGAAATTTAAGGGCATATGCTTAATGCATGAGTAACGTGCGTAGAGAATTTAAGCTGGTTTCAAAAAGAAAAAAGTAATGTGAATTTAATTAAACTAAGCCATGTATAAAAAAGATGATTGAATTTTTCCTTTAATGGGCAGTGAGAGGTGTGTTAAGAATCTTGAGGTCACCACCCCAAAAGCTAACTCAAGGGGTGAGAGTGTCCAAGACCTTATAAAGGTCATATTAATTGTCCATCCAATCAATGTGGGACTATATATCTCAACACGCCCCCTCACGCAAGAGCCCTTTAGGCTAGAAGGGTGGAAATTGCACAGGCCCATTTTTGGTTTACCTTTTTGTGTTTTTTTTTTTTTTTTTTAATTCCACTTTTTAAAGCGGGGGACGGTGAGGCTTTGATACCATGTTAAGAACCTTGAGGTCACCACCCCAAAAGCTAGCTCAAGGGGTGGGAGTGTCCAAGGCCTTATAAAGGTCATATTAATTGCTCATCCAATCAATGTGGGACTATATATCTCAACAAGGTGGAATATATAAGGCAACCATCGGGGTCTTGGCCTATCTCGCGTTAAGCCTCATTTGAAGTATGACCAATAATATACAATTTCGTGATAGGATTGGCAGTTGATGAATAAGCCTAGGAAATATTAAACGTGAGTAGCGATGAATCTCACATAAATTAAAAATGAACCAAGTGGGGATAATATAAATGTGAAATTAAAATTCATAGACTTATTGTCTTAAGATTTTAGGTTTAAATATGATATTAGCCTATTTATTAATCTGGCTTATCATTCGCTCCATTGGTAAAAGAATCATTTGTAAAGAGTTTTAGGTTCTACCATACCATTCTTATCAGTGGTGGCTATGTAGCACCGATACCGACACGGGACACGTGATACGACACGACACTCCGACATGTTAATTCTAAAAGCTGTTAGATTTTGACACGTTAGGACACATTTTGAAATTAAATAATATTTTTAATTTATGTAATGTATATTATATTTAATATTCAGTAATTTAACAAAAAAATAAACTAAACTTATAACATTCATCAATTTTGCAAAGAAACATATGATATCCCAAATATTTATATTAAACTCAATAAAATGGTAATCGTAATTTAACGAATCTAATAGCTGGAACTAAAAATTCAACGCAACGCAACCTTTGAACCTTTTTTGAATTTCTATATTGCGTGTTGGAGTGTCGGACATGAC